GTCCCCGTTTTCGATTACCCCCCCCCCCCCCCCCCTCCGGTTTCCCGGCGGTTTCGCCGGCAATCGTGGTGGCTCGGCAGGCCCTAGAGCTGCAGGACAAGAACGGCGTCCTGCTGGACCTCCTCGGGGAGAAGACCGAGGACTTGGAGGCTGTGCAGGTGAGAAAGGAGTCGGTTGTTTTCATTCTGTTGCTGAAAGGCCAGCCGGACACATCACGAACACGGGAAGGACCGTTTTGACTAGATGACGTCGTTGCACGTTCGATGGAATCTTCCCGGACGGGAGTCGTTGCAGCAGTAGTGAGGCTTGAGAGACACATGTGGTACACCCGATGGACCCTGGACGTTGAGTCTGTCCGAGTCCTTCCACTTTACAGTAGAATCGATTCAGTGATGCCAAAGCCAGCCGGAACACGTGACTTGACCAGAAATTCGCGAACATCCAGGGAGGGTTACTCGGCCAAGATTTGACTTGTGTTTGGCGTCAGGAGTCGGGGTCTCCAGGCCTCGCGGACGCATCTGTCGTTTTGCGGCAGCGTATTCTGTGTGTGTGTGTGTGAGGAGTAGTACTAGGTTTTGCGAAGACGGGTGTGTGATAATCACGCCGGAGACATGTCCGTGGATATGTCGGCCCCTGGAGCGTTTTTTCGGGGTGCAGTCTATGGTGTTGACGACGCTCCTGGCAAAGACCGGCGTCCGCTACACGTAGGAAGACAAAGCACAATGCCTCCTTCCTTCTCGTCGTTGTTGCCGGCTGGGCGTAAGCCGACGTTGTCGCTGTTTCCCTCTTTGTCCGCGCCGTCGACGTCGCTCTCTGCGCCCCAGGCGGATATGCGGGAGATGCAGAACATGTACCGGGCGCAGTACGACGAGCTCTTGACAAGGGCTGGTGCTGGAGTGGACAACGGGACCCGTCCTCCTGCGTAGGGCAAGCATGCCCTTGTACCCCATCCGTAGCAGAGGAGGCTAAATAGTTTTTGGCTGCTCATCTATGCATACAGTCGGCAGATAATTTTTTTTTTGTTTCATGCGAAAATTTGGTGAGGTGTGTCACCGGGTTAACATGGTTTTGGCGACGCGACCACTCGATGCGGTGAACGTGCAGGAATGCATGCGTACCACGGAAATGCGGTATTCGATCAAGTCTTTGTGTCATGGCGAGAAAGGGGAGAGGTTGGTGCGCCCAAGACGAGCGGAAACACCATCAGCGGTTGGGGAACCCTACCACCGCGATCGACCCTCTGCCCTAGAGGCACGCGAGGTCTATTCCAGCGTGTCAAGGGAAATTCGGGCTGTAGATAAGACCGGAAGGGAAACTTCCCTCACCTTCGACCCGTGTCACGATAACTCTCCTTCCTGCACAGCTTTCTGGGCATTGGGTCATCTCGCGAGCTGTTTTTCGCTTCTTCGTGAGGAAGCATGACTTACCATGACATTTATAAGACAGTTAATGGAGGCACGTATACATATACCGCGCGTTCTCGCGTGTGGCGTTTGTTGTTTTCTTTTGCGTCTATTTTTTGCAGAGATTTTTTGTGGGAGAGATGTGCGGGGGGCTCCTTGATGTAGTAAACACCCCATTATGAATATTCCCAAGCCTTCTCGTTCGGTTTATCCTGCGGTGTGTTTCGGGCGCGGCTTCGAGGGTGCAGTTGCGTGATGCCCGATTAATGTCTCGGTGGCCGTGCGAGTGTTGCCGGTGGTGCCCAGTTGTCCCCCGCTCGCGAATACGTTTGTACACGAAGGTGCGACGTGGCCTCTTGTGTCGGGCATTTGCTCCCGTTTTTCGACAGGTTTTCTGGTGTTGCAGCTTCATCGTCGGGGGGTGTATCGCAGTGATGTTTCTGGCATATTGCGGCAGGAACCATTACCATCGGACAGCGGCCGAGAAATCGCTTCCAAAATCGGCGATTGCCGCCGCAAACGGGCGCGCGGTGTTTCTACACGGCTGTTGAGGACGATGTTCTCCGTCTAGTCTAGAAGTGTTTCGAGCATGGGTAGCGGCAAGCATCAAGTGTCGGGTATGAAGAAATCGTGTTGTTGTTATTTCCCCAAAAAATTGAAACCATGAGTATTGTAATGCTGCCCGATAAATTACGGGAAGCTTGCCCTCGAGCTCTCACCACCGGCATGGTGGCGAGAGAGGCAGGGGATGACGCCGCGCATCGCCGTGGACAAGGGGTGGAAGCCAGGGTTCTTCAGGATGCTCAGGTTGATGCAGCACTTCCCTGCCGAAGAGCGGCGGGTACCACGCTACGCCCGTTTCTGAGTTTTTAGCGGGCGAGGAGAGAGTTCCCTTTGGGCTGATTACAAGGAACATTTCCGGCATCATTTTCTTGTTTTGGGACTTTTGTCTGGGCACTGGTGACCAAGTCCTATGTTTGCAGAGAGGCCCGCAGAGGACACCAAGGTTTGTACAGAGGGAGCCAGGTTTGTCCCCTTTTATACTATGGTACGAGCGAGGGTCCCCGCTCGGGAACCTCTGAGCCATCATCACAAAACGAATGGTTGCACATCAAGAGAGCACCCAACCCGCACGGGAAGCATGCGAAACGTTCACTAGTAGCACAAAGTATGTCCGTTGAAATAAATAGTCGTTTGTGCTCTTCTTGATTGACTAACATAGCCCGCGGTTAGTTTCACTTGTTTACAGATTTATTTTCAGTTTTTCTTTTCTGGTTTATTGACGTTCGCTGGACTGTTCGAGTAAAAGTGTTCGACACTGCTGGGTGACGAGCTGTTCTCACGCTCATGACGCCGGGGCGTCTCGTGTGACATCTCATGACGCGTCCCGGCGTCATGAGACCTATCATGAGGCGCCTCATGGAATTTCCCGTCGGTGCAACTCCAAGGAGCACGACGCACTACCGTAAGAGTCGGAGAGATGGCACCCCCGTGTTAGCGTTTTCGTATAGCGTATTTCTCCACAACCAGGGAGGTACCACTGCCGAAAAGGGTAGTTTTGGAAACATCTCGTCGAGGGCTTTCCTGAGAGGTATCGGTCGGTGTTCGCACCCTCCCAGTTGTGGAGAAATACGCTACAAAAACACGCAAACACGGGGGTGCCATCTCTCCGACTCTTACGGGTACATGCCGTGTACTTTTTTTTCTGAAACGCTTCAGTCTTCTGTCGCAGAAATTCTCGGACCAATAGTCGATTTTGACTGACTCCAAAAAAGTGACTCCGAAGGTGCGTCTCAAAAAAAGAAAAAAGCGGCCCTACTCTTTGTGTTTCGCTTGGTTTTGGAGTAGGCGATCGGTCTCTTATCTAAGAGCAAGTTGTTTTTCTTCGGGCGATGTTTCTCGGGGTTCATAATACTGCCGCGACGTGGGGGTGATGATCTGATGCCTTGACCCTACAAACCACCAGTCAGTCCCATTATTTGCGTCCGGAACGCCTTCGGACAACAATCAACCAATCCTCGCCCTGACAAATCTGTTTTTCGCCTGGGAGGGGCCACGCGCGATGAGCCCGGGTTAGCAGCTGAACGGGCAAGTCGCACTGCAATGCGATTCGCCTCTACGCGCGAAAATGTGCCCTCAACCTACAGTATCACTGTGTCACCATCAGCTGAGGAAGAAGAAGAATGACCAACTGTCACACACGCATCCGAACCTGCAACCGAAACGCGCTGGCTAAGTCATGCATGAAGTGACGACGACCCCGACGGTTGAGCCCGCCACGGAGTTTTCCATTTCTGTGTGAGTATGATATGTTTGTCCTGAACACCGATTGACGGTATTGCACGGAGAGCGTATAGCAAGTATGTTATTCTGCCTCTATCACCTCGTCTTCCACTTTAATGCGCGAGAGCACTCATTTTATCATTCCTCAGACAAAACGTTCCGGGGCGTGACGCATTTTCGGGAGTTATCTCTTGACGGCCCTTCCATTTATTGTGAGCCCGTTGGCTGAAAAGAAACGGGCTTCAGTTGAGGACGGGCCCCCCGGGCTGTTATTCACATAAAAAGCAGCAGCAGTACTCCAAGCCTCATACCATTCCCATATACCAGAGGTTGTATCCCCGCAGCAGCACTGTCCATCAGAGCTTGAGCTTCATGCTCTCGATGCAGGAAAACGATGTCGACTACCCGATCTCCGGACAGATCAGACGGTCCCCCTGTTTCGTCTACGGAGAAAACCGTTCAGGTGCACCAGCAGATCGCCAAATTTTGGACAGCAAGACACTCTTAAGCTTATGCGTGTGGTATCGCTATGTGGGGCGCTCGCCCATCGTTCTAGAGGGCCGCGAGCTGTCTACGTCACTCTGCGAGTGACCGCGACTTCACTCATCATGGTGTCTAGGAAGCACGTGCGTTGCAACGGACGTAACGCTTCACTTCCGAGTGCCTTATGCGGGCTGTTGTGGGCTGCTGAACGTGTGTGTGTCGTGTTTCGTCGTTTCGTCGTTTCGTCGTCTATCGTGAGTGGTGTCCATTTGTATGTTTAGGAGGTGTACCCCCGCCTTGGGGGCAGTTGGCTTGTGACAACGGAATGCGTCCGCGTCAGTAGGACCAGTGCGGACATTACAAGGTACTGAGCGGAGACCGGAGCAGTTTTTACGTGAAGACAAGGACAACAACAACAACAACAACAACAACAACAGTGGCGTAGATCCCCTCTATCACGCTGACTGATATTTGGTCGTGCCGCAGGCACAAAAGGCGGTACACGGCGCGAAACGAGCCCCTCTCTGAAAATCGTCAACGATCCTAGCATATGGTCTATGTAGTCGAGTTGATGCTACGGTGATTCAGTAATGATTTCAGCAATCGACTCATCAATGCACACCGTAGGCTAATCTACTCATCAACGGTGACTTTGCGATACTGCCGCGACTGCGTTGGGCGGCCGCTGCTGTCCTTCCGTCTCTTCACGCGCTTACGAAGCTGTATTTAGCTCCAACCAACTTGCTACATACAACCGCCGCCGTGTGCTCTTGTCCACGCAAGGACGGAGAAGCCTACTGTATGTACTTCGAAGTACAATTTTCTCCAGTCAAGACCCCGGGATTCCGACCAATAACGAGGCTACAATTCGACTGTTACACCAATTAACCCCAGCTTCATGAATGAATGTACCTGCTCGACGAAGCACATTTCAATATTCTTAAAACACACAACACGCCCGACCAGTACCTAACACATATATATCCTCTGCACCTTCCCAACATAACATATATGAGACACACAAGACAGCTACCAAACTGTCTTGCTGAGCCTGTTACCCGCAGGGGAGATTTCCCTATATGCTGTCTGGGAAATCGTAGACATACAGGTACTTTCTGACGCTATGAATTCATTGCTAATCTGTCTCAGACTCTTTTTCTATGATAGAGATGGTTTCGTTGTGTCATATTAAGAAAAAAAAATAAAAATAAAAATAAAACATTTTCTACATCAATCTATATGACACAACGATTCCATCTTCTCTCCGAAAAATCATCTACAGACTTGTATGTCGGTGGACGTTGATATTGACTAATGATTACGCAGAAATTGAATACAACGAGTAGTGTCATCTCTTGCCAATAGAACGTACAGCAACTCATCAACTCATCAAACGTAACCGTCATTTTGTCGTTGATGAACACCACCCGTAGTCACGCCCCACGCCTCACAACTTCCAAGGACCTCAAAAGTTCCTGTCAACATCGCGTTCCAGACCCAACCACCATCGAGACCCACCCACAGATAAACAGCAGAGACATCCGATATGAGGCGGCAGTACCGCAATAGACCGCCATGTCGCATGTATGTGTAACTACACAACACCTCCACCCCCTGGTTTCACCTTGTAAAAAGATTTTCGTTCGAGCAGAAACTCGTCAAGAACAAGAGGGACGACAAGCCTACACAGAAACAGGCGAGGGGAGTTAAACAAGACTGAGACTGATGTGACTGTAGATCGACCGGCTGATGTCGAGATCGAAGATGATTCTCTCGGCAACCGGCCCTCTGTACCACTTGCTCTTACGCAATTGCGATAGCTCTTCCCGTGCCTTTGTTCCCACGCGGTTTGCCCAAAGGCCGGAGATGAAGTATAGCCGTGGTGTAGAGATGAGATATGGTCGTTTCTCTCTAGACAGAGGGAGACTCATCTCTCTATACTACCGGACATCGTCGTTTCCATGCGAATGTCCAAAGAGAGGTAGTCTCGCTCATTAGAATGTAAACGACCTCGAGACGATGAGCGCAGCAGTACAGAGAGCCGCTTGCCGAGAATCATGTTCGATCTCGACATCTGCCGGTCGATCTATAGTCACATGAGTCTCAGTTTTGTTGAACCCCCCTCGCCTGTATTTGTGTAGCCTTGTCGTCCTTCTTGTTCTTCGTGGACGTGAAGGCCACGTCGTGGAGACGCGCTTGGCCATGAACGATGACACGGTGGGATACCAACAGCACGACCTGGTAGCAGTCGGCCATGATGGGGAGTGCGTCGATGCCGAGATCCCACCTGACCCATCCCTACTTCGAGTCGACCCAAGCGATCGACAAGCACTTTTGCACCGTGAGTCATGGGGTGGGTGTTCTGTCTGAAGATGTCGTTCAATTTGCATACCGCGCTACACGCGTAGTAAGGAGGTGTGCCAATGGAACGACGCCTTCAGACAGTACACCCCCCTCGCGACTCACGGTAAGTAGTGAATGTCTACCTCTTGGGTCGACTCGAAGTAGGGTTGGTCAGGCGGGATATCGGCACCGGTGCCTCGTCATAGCCGACTGCTATACGCGCGAGTATCTTGTCGCCGTGACAGCAACAGTTGCAGGCGGCGGCCTCTGATGTATTCTGGGTTTCTTCTTCGCGGAAGTTGTCGAGATTTTGTGCCGAGCGGGGAACCACGCGCAAGCATCCCGAAGGGAGAGGGGAGAGAAGAGACAGGTGAGAGAGAGCGTCCAAAATGTATGCCTCTCTCTCTCTCTCTCTCTCTCTCTCTCTCTCTCTCTCTCTCTCTCTCTCTCTCTCTCTCTCTCTCTCTCTCTCTCTCTCTCGCTCTCTCTACCGCCTTCGTCTCGCTCTGTCCCGCCCTCTCTCCCTCCCTCCCTCCCTCCCTCCCTCCCTCCCTCTCTGCTGTGTGTGTTGGCCAATGCGTTGACTGTTTTGGGTTGTAAGCTTGCTTGTGGATGTTGACGATATTGTCGAATAGGTTCCTGAAAGAGGTGTTGACTGTTGTCGACTAGATGTGTCCTTTTAATTCTTTGGTGCGCCCTCTCTCTCCGCAACGCGTCGATTGAGCAACCTTATAGTCAGAAACCAAAGACAAAACTCAAGGGCCACGTTGGTCCTGTATCCTGTGCGTGACCCGTACAGCTGCAACGCGGCGGACGAACTCACTGGTTGTGCAGCTGAATTCTTTGACGCGAGAGGCTTGGTTCTGAGTACGAAGCACGTCCGAAGGAGAGGAAGAAAGAGCTGTTGGCTGAAAAGTGGTCTCTTGATCAGTGGAGACCAGAAACAATGCAGAGAGAAAGTCAGACAAGAGAATTATAAATTATTCAGAGAGGCAGAGATCTCCACAGAGACAAAGCTCTCCAAAACGCAGAGTGTTGACACCTTGATGTGCGCCGCGGAGGTGTGTGGGCTATAAAGACGTGCCCGAACGTTCGTATCACTCTATACCCATGCTTGCATCGGACCCTGACCATGCTGTCTAGGCATCACGATGAGAGTTTGATGTAGAGGTCCGGCCCTCTAACGAGTAGTCTCTGACGAACAAAGTGTCGCGTACCCGCTTTTGTCCGAGAAAGGGGTGGGTATACTCATGTTTGTCCATTTCCCTTTTGGTGTACATCGAACGCTCGACGGCCTAGGTTGCCGGAGGCGCAGCGGTATCGATTATTTTATCCTGATAGTGGCAAAATAGTTTAAGCCCTTAATAACGGGCCTTCAAACCTGGTGCGATGTGCCTGACCGAACCAGCAAGCACCATGCCGATGACATTCCTGTTAGTCTTTCGCCTGTGATCTATTCTAACCCACCTCCATCATGCTATTGTTCCACAGCAATGTATCTCTGGTTTCCACTCATGCGAACGTGGAATTCTGCGTCCAAACAACGACTTTCAAAAACACAACGAGAACGGAAGTCAAGTCCCACTGCAAATACCTGTTCGGGCAAGTGGTGCGTTCGGGTAACCCGCCGATCGATCCGCTTCGAATGTTGGGTATGATTTGTATCGCGCCAGGCCGCTTTTCTCGTACCAAGACAACAACGTACAGATCCAGAAGAGCGCCGCGTACACGCACCTGACTTTCACCCGACACTGAGGCGCAGGACCAGTAGTGGTGGGTGCGGGCTTGTTGGCGGTTGATTGATCATCGCGCGTCCGTGTCGGTGTTTGCAAATTTATATGTAATTAAAATGAAACGGCCCCAGCAATAGGTGCTGCTGCGAACCGAGCGAACAAGCGCCTTTTGAGCTGGATCGAGGACATAAAAACACCGACCCTTAAATCGTCCTGTGCGCAACCAGACAGAAGAAGGTTAGACTACACGTACATATTTCTTGCTCCCGAGGCTATACTTACTTGAAGGACCGCCTGGGGAGCAAGTAGGCGAACCTGCTCAAGCGGCGGCGTTTCACATCAAATATGCGTGTTTTATTGGGGAACACCCAAAAAGTCTGGGGTTGGCATCATGGTCGTCTTCGTCGGGAAGGCGAGAGTCCCGCGACAAACACCGCAGCCAGACCAAGATTCATCACGGAGAGCGTATGTATGTTATACACCATGAGCGGGCGGCGGAGAACAGACCAAATCCCACACTTTCGATTCGAACACAGCTTTTTGCGACACAACAAAAGAAAACAACACGGCAGCACTTGCAACTATCTGTAGCAGACTCTGCAGCGCAGCGATCGCACCACAAAACGAGACAACTAATCACTTTCCACCAGACCAAAGCGCCGTACGTGCACTCATCCGTTTTCGACGATAGAGCCGCGACCAGTCGAACAGCAACTTTTTTGGACCGATGAAATAACAAACAACAGCAACAGGATACACACGAACAACAACGACAACAACAACCCACGACGACGATCGACGTGGTTCATCGTGTGTCACAAAACAAAGCAACAACAATGTAGTATGACAGAGCACAACAAGAAGCACACGGGTACTTCCGAGTGCTCGTTTGCGGTCAATACACTCCAAAAGGTCCAATGGTCAACGGTCCCACCACAAGCGGCGGGATATGTATCGGTTCCAAAAATTCAGAACCAAAAATAAACGGCATCGCGGCATCGCCGCATCGCCGCGTCAACGAACCTGTGTACGCTCTACCTTCAACTTGCGCCGCAAGAGGAGGCAAAGAGAGCGAACTGCGAACTGCTGTAGTTGGCACGGCGGGGCGGGCGTTGTCCAGGCTATGCTACAGATCGGGAAAGCGGGTGACGCACCGGCACATTCTGTGGTGAGTTCCCCTGCGAGTCCCCACGGTGATTTGCTGGCACCGGAACCTACATACCTGTGCAGTCAGTTACTTTTGGCGTGCTTGATGCGCTCACCTAGCGCTAGCTGTAGCTGCTGAGCACCGAACGGCCGGAGTTCAAGGTTTGTAAGCATCCATGCTCCTGTCTGCTGATATTGCCGTCTTTGGGAACGTAGTGTAGTTCCTGGTTATATATTAACTTCTCCAAAAGGAGCCCAGAATGTCCCTACACCCTGGCGTGTTGCGCGTATGGCGTGGAATAACAGCTCCCCCAGTTCCGCTGAAAATCAACCAATATGGAGGTACGTAGTGAGAGCAGCTTCGGAATCATCTCCGCGTGGTGCTTTCGATGGGCCTAGGTATGGACATATTCCCCGCACACAGACGAGGGCGAGGCGGCGCCCCATGCCATCATCCCGCGTCATGAAGTGCACGTGCACCATTTCGTTTGTCTTGTCTCGGAAGTGCACCAACCCTCTGGCTGTGCGCTTGTTAGAAGCGACGCGGATAGTCTTTGCCTGCTGCTTCTGCTGCTGTTGCTGTTTCTGATGTGGTGCCGGCGTTGGTGCTCTTGCTACGCCCATGTAACAGTACGGCTGTCATTGCCTGCCGCATCATCGAGCGCAGCGCAGAGTGACTGCCAAAGAAGCGCAGGACCTCAAAGTCTGGTCGACACAATATGGCATGGAACGAAACGTTGCAATACCCAGAAACGGTTGTACCCGCCCCGTTGCACGCACCCCCTTACTCTAGCCATTAAGGGGGTGCAGAAACGGGGTGGTGACGCTGGCTCTTTTTCCCATACTTTAGTCCTATACAAAGAAAGAAAACAACCTTCCGCCAGGGTTAGGTGTCGCATTCTATTGTCATCAGTAGAGGACATCATGAAGAGGAGTCGTGCGTGCTGGCATGTTCAGGTTTGCTACTGGAGCTGAAATATCGAAGGTCGCAGCAGCCTCTGAAAACAGTCCGAAATCTGCGCCGGAACCAAGCGGCATCAAACATTTGTCACAGCCGTGCTCACCGCCACGGCCCGTTAACCCCTGAACGGAGGTTGTTAGCAGTAGCTAGTGGCATCAGCTACTGCTGTAAACCCGCAGTTCAGGAGATTGGGGTCAGTGGCGGCGAGCACGGCTGTGACAAATGTTTGATGCCGCTTGGTTCCGGCGCAGATTTCGGACTGTTTTCAGAGGCTGCTGCGACCTTCGATATTTCAGCTCCAGTAGCAAACCTGAACATGCCAGCACGCACGACTCCTCTTCATGATGTCCTCTACTGATGACAATAGAATGCGACACTTAACACTCAAAACTGACCTTGTTTGAGCGCCTTCCGTTTTGGCTCTTTTGACTAGAATTTAGAATGGTGTTAATTTTTATCTTGATTTCAAAGGAGGCGTGTGGAGGTATCAACGATTTCTGTTTTTCGCGGTGCCTTCCTACTGGTCTGGTGTGTCTGTTGTGCAATTTCTGGTGCTCTTACGTTTGTTTTCAAAATTGATCTTCTGCACCACCCGCTTAACACCTCCTTGAGAAGAACGCGCTGTTTTTCTTTCGCCACCCGTCGGTCAGGTGCAGTTAGTGAGCCGGCCCGCCATAGCGCGCCGCTATTGATCGAACCCGCCCCGGAGTATCGCGGATTACGGTGCTGCTGGCTGGTGGTAGCTACTATTCTTTGTCTCGGGGAGGAAAGGGAGCGAGCTCCTTGTCCTTGTGGGGGGAGTGCTGCATCACATGGACGAATGGTCGACGCTAGAGGTGCGTAGTCTGCTCGTTTTGTCCGCCTCCCGAATGGAAAAAAGCTCATCGAACAGCAACCATCAACGCTACCGCCTCACGGCGTTGTTAGCCTTTTTTTATTGCCGGTCGGAGTTGTCCCGGTCTCAGCAGCGGTGCTGTTGCACGCTGCCCCATGGCAATATATATTTCGAGGGTATCTAATATTGTTTCATCCTATTGCCTTCATGTTTCTTTGTGTACGCGAGCACACACAGAGACAGCCCATCCCCAACTCTGTAAGTCTGCGATGCGTCCTTCCCCCTTACCGCTCTCCCTTATCGACACTGCTGTATTGCTACAGGGACTTGGGCTCGCCTCGGCGCAGCTTAGGTCTCTGGCGAGGCGGGGGAGTTTCTCTAGGGATGACGGCGTGTCGATTGAGTTCTGCAACTTCTGCCAGGTGACGCGTCTATTCCCATCCACCGCTGCTGTACTTAATTTCGCGCTGTCGCTGAGTGCTGCTGCTTGTAGCCTAACCGAATCAGTTCCTTTCGAGCTGGGAGCTACACCTAAAACGCTTGTATCCTTCGTAGTCCTAACGCCAAGACACTGGCATGCTGAAGGGAAGGTTCGCACCGACTTTGTGCCGGTTGGGAAAGTCGGAACATTGTATCGCCACCCGACTGGAAGACCCAACGTTGAGAAGGCTCGTGAAGAGGATTCGCTCCCCCTGTGAAGGGTGTTCCGACGCTCGATCAGCTGCAGTGGGCAGGACCGTGGGGGTATCCGATTGCCGCAGATTTGGTGTTTCGTGGGGGGGGGTGTAGTCCCAGGACTACGTGTTGTCCACGGCAGGGCTTACCTCGCACAGATAGACGGGTGCGACCTCAGGGGGACATGGACGGGTGCAAGACGGTTTTGCTGTACCTCTGGCGGCTTGGCTTGGGGCATACATACTTGATACTCATAACTTTGTTTGGTTTGTTCACTCAGCGCTGCATCGTGTTGGAATAAAGCGAGCAAAGCGGAACCGATGAACGACCACAAGAGAGAATATTGACTATAATCATGTCTGAAGCAGTGATGAGAGTGGCCGAGGCCGACAGCGGGTGATGGCCGCGCGCGTTTTCCCGGCGCGTTTCGTTGCTCGACCCTGCCGTTGCATTGTCTAAAGAGCAACCAGAGTCAAGCCGCCTTGCTGTCCTCTCCTCCGCGCCTTGGTCATCTATCAGTGCTACGGCTGCTGCTATTCCTTCAATGCTGTTGGTTTTCGTATCTCCTTGGACGATTGTTTGGTACTGTGCGTGGCGAGCTCGGGTCGTATCCAATCAAACGTTGTGAAACTGCCATGTGTTGTCGACGCGCTGTTGTGCGCCTACGTCTGCCGGCGGTTGTCAGGAAAACGCGAAGCACCACGTGCTGCTGTTCACCGGCTGGGACGAGTCCTTCCTCAAGGTGTTTGTAGTTGATTTGTTTTGCACGGGGTTGCCTAGGCAGGGCAGCGTGAGTGTTTGCATTGAGTGGCTCGCCGGGGTTCAACCATCGGTAAAGCCAATGGTTACGCAACAGCTGGTGGCATTCCGTACTCCCTGCTTTGTCTCACAGCATCAGCCACAACGGGAGGCGCTTCTTGGCAGTCATTCCTGCTGTACGCATCGCAGCTTTCCCCTACAATGTAGCTTGGGTATGATTTCGCCAGGGTTTAGTGTACACAGGGGATCGTTTCTGTAATCTCCGCCCACCTCTCGCCGTGTCTCTGTCATTGTTCGTAGGCCACTTGCTTGAACGGACACAGCCGAGCTCGAGACGTTCCATTCTTTGTTTCTCCTATTTGTTTTCCTGCTCGCGCGCGTTTTTTGCTGACAAACCTGAAGGAAGTTTTTACGATCCTGTGCTTGGTTTGCCATGTACGTTGATAATGCACAAGTGGAAAGATACCGGAATCGTTTTGTTTTCCATCCTGTAAATTTATCGCCATTCCGTCCCGTTTTGATTGGTTCGCTTCTCGTTGCGTCTCTCCCTCCTCTCGGTGCTGCTGCCATGTATGGATGACGGGAACAATTCTGCGCTCTTCGTTGTCGCCACGACGAAACTGCTCTTTCGGGTGGTGGGAATTGTTGTGTGGCGCAGTACGGCGACGTGATATCGGAGCTACTGCAGGCCGGCATCAACGTCTACGCCATGGACTGGCGGTCCCAGGGGCTCTCTGGCAGGCACTTGCTCGACCCCCAGGTGTGACTCTCAAGGTTTAAGCTTGTTTCCGCGAGATTTTTGTGTTTTTTCCTCGGGTGGGTCGGAAAGAATGGTCTCTTGCTCGTGGAGCTTCTTTAGCTATCCTACGTTATGGTGTTGTCCAACTGGAACCGGAGATCCTTAGCTTGGCCAGCGTCTTTTGCTATCCTATAATAGTTTCGATTGAGGTTTACTCAGATGGACTGATACCAATTGACCTCTTGTTCGCACACACCGTAAGTCAAAGCGGCGTCACTTTTCCTAGCAGTTGACCCGGGTCTCTCGCTTCTCGCTATGTCGAGAACACAGCGCGGCACTGTTCCGACGATAAAACGATGGCGGCACGTGTTAACCGCCGTCCTGATGGCCCCAATTGGGGTGCCGCTCTCAAAGTACGGCCACGGACATTTAGGAGGATTTCTAAGCACTTGTTGGCTAACGGAAAAGAAACAAGGTGTGATAGCAATATTATGCGGGAAATCTTCGCCCAACTACTGTTTTCGCGTACCTGCGCTGTTTGTAAGCATGGCTTACATCAGAGGTTCCGAATCCCCACTTGAGAAGATGTTCCGTGCTTGCCACCCTGCCGCATCCTTCGACAATTTGTAAGAGCTCTGCGTGGAGAGCGTTGTCGAGCCAATTCACATATAGCCGCAGGTGTGTCGACGGTTTTGTGGACGGGTGACAAGTTGGGCATGATTCTCATGTTCCGCGTGCTGCCGCTTTTTTTCGGCACAGGTGACGTACGTGCAAAGCTTCGATGACCACCTGGACGACCTGAGCTTTTTCGTGAACCAGGTAGATTTACGTGTTCCGAAGTTTGTCGTTTTGGTTACACCTTTCGGTGCAGACGTTGTGCGAAGAACATTCGGCTGAACCGACATGTGCTTTCCTTGGGAATCGGTGGCCAAGGGTAGACGGATCGAATGATAAGGGGCGTGATAGGAGAAAAACGACGGACAGGCTGCGAGAGATAGACGAGTGGACAGAAATATATCGTACAAAGAAGAGAGAGAGAGATAGATTCTTGAACCGCCATGATGTATGTCGGCCTGCCCGAGGTATGTTTCTGCTGTGCACATGATGAGTAAAGTCGGCCTTTTCCCCACAATCGTAGCAGCTACCGCTGTGTTTCCTTTCCCTCTCTTTTCTGACCCGAAAGCTCTTTTCTGACACGAAAACTCTTTTCTGAGACACGGAAAACGGATTTCCGTTGTTCGTCGCACCGCCCTGGGCAGGTGGTAGTCGAGGCATGCGGCGTGAGGACCTCCCAGCTGACCTGTCTCGCGCACTCCATGGGAGGCTTGCTTTCGCTCATGGCAGCGGCGGGCGACCGGGGCTTGTTCCAGAGGCTGGTGGTGTGCTCGCCGATGATCATGATGAAGGTTCGTGATTGTAGAAACTAGTGATATAGTAGGTTCAACGCTGATACATTGTGTCCTCGCCGATGATTACGGTGGTAGTTCGCGACTGAAGTATAGAAGTTGGTGGGGTACTCGCTGATGGCCACGATGAAGGTTCGTGATGGTAGTAATTAGTACCAGATTCGACGCTTGTAGTGTGCTCGCCGATGACCATGATAAAAGGTTCGCGATTGTAAGGAGTAGCAGATGCAACGCTTGTGTAGCGTGCTCGCTCATTCTCATGATGAAGGTTATTGTTCGTTCGTATGCCGGATATATCGCTGGCAGTGTGCTCGGTGACGATAATGATGTATTTGGTAAGCAGACATACGGTTTTACTGTCCGACCCTTTCGTACCCGGAGGAGCAACGCCGATTCCTCTGGCTTGTGCCAGCGTTTTGGTCGACATGACACAGAAATATAGTAGCGTCAATGCCCGCAGCGGATGAATACCCCTTCCGTGCATGAAGCACGAAGCATTGCTGTGCCGACATTTGGTTCCTCGCTGCATTTGTTGCTGTCAACACCACACACACCACAAACATCACAACAACGACACGCCAAACGCTGATAGACTCTCCCTAATTTCACGATTCCGTGCTGCTCTCCCCCCGTCTAGTGCGGCATGCCGCACTTCGTGGCCCTGTGGCTCGGGCGCCTGTTCTGCAGGCTCGGCATGGGCTCGAGCTACGCGCCTGGAGAGAGCGGGGTGGACGTGTCTAGGTAATGTCACAGAGGGAGGACGGGGTGGTTTTTGCGATGCACTTAGCATCCAGAATACATGTCAGCAGGGACGACACCACAGCTTGTTTTTTTGAGGGTGCACGTCAGGTTCAAGGCTTTGTCTCGCGAACACGTCGAAGTTGCATTTGTTGCTGTGGATGTCTTACTGTTCGTGCTGCTGTTTGTTGTTCTTGTTGCTGCTTGTTGCCGTTGCTGCTTGTTGCTGTTGCGGTTGTTGATGCTGCTGTTGTTGCTGCTGCTGCCGCTGTTGTCCGTGTCCGGCAATAGGACATAGACCAAGCCGTGTTTTGCCGTCTGTGTTGCTCCATGGTTACAGCTTCTCGCCCGCGTACGTGACCAACGCAGGCCGATCACGATGAAACTGACGACGGACAAGGCGAGGCTCGCAACGTGGGAGAGGATCCGAAGAGCCTACCCCATCGTGAGGCCCCTGTCGACTATATTGGAAGGGAATGGCTCTTGCGTGTCCGTCGGATGTTTTTGTTGAGGATTGTCGTAAGAGACAAGTCAGCGGAATCCCAGCTTTGGCAACCCGGTATTAAGCTTCGAGTTTGGCCACCCAGCTGTGGTGTCATGATTTATTACTCCTGATGCCTGCGTGCAGATGTGAGGAAGGGAGGGGCATACCCGATCGGAAACAACAGTTGGCCGGCGGCATTTGCTCCTCTTGTCTTCCCGTTGAGTTTTGCCCGAAACGTTTTCGAGCAACCGCAAGAGAAGCCGCACATGTGTATGTTTTGCTCCTCGTCAAGATTGTGTTCTTCTCTCCGTTATTCCCAAGAGAGCAATGGCTCCCCGCGCCCGACCTACGGACGCGCGGCGACAGTTACGCAAGTGGGTGGCGTTGTCCGTAATTTTAGGAACAGAGGCGGTTTTGCAATATGTAGAAACGAGGCGTTTTCTGTGAGTATAAGAACGTTGGATGCTTTTACAATTTGTGTCGCAGGTGGCCATGGGGGGCATGAGTAACCTCTGGGTCGTGGAGGCCATCAAGGCGCAGGACTGGTTCAGAGCAAGGGCCAAGCAGGTAATCGAGAAAAGGGGTGGACGCAATGTTTGTACGTATTCCTACCTACCGCATGCTTTTCGGCCGCAGACCACGGTGCCCTTGCGACGAACTAGCTCCCAAGGCGCTCATGTTGCCGCTTCGGTTCCGTTGTGGGCAAGCGTAAAGCGGTGTTCAAATGCAGCATGGCGCTGCATGGTTTGTTGTTCTCTGTAGTCCGAGACCGCGTGTAGTGCCAGATATTGGCGAAACCATTCTTCTTGTGGTTGCCGGAACGCGTGTACGCTACAGACCTGTGACAGTGGCGGCCTTCCATGGCGATGATTACGGTTGTCCTCTCTTTCCTGCAGGTCTCGGTTCCCGTTCTGCTGCTCGAGGCGGGCATGGACGTCTTCGTGTGCACGTCGAGACCTTTCAGGTGACCTGTGTTTCGTTGTGTTTCGGAACAAAACCCTCATCTCTTGGCCGAAACATCCCGACACGTGCTTGACGACGCGAAGCACGACAAATCTAGTCTACCTTTGTCTGCCGTCCGCCAAGATTATGGCTCTATGTGTATGTTGTGCTCAGACTGCTGCGGCGGTCGTGGTAGGCGGGCACGCACTTGCTTTGGTTGTCTTGGATGGTGGAAAGCGATTCGACCGACTGTCAGACACCGAATGCACCGAACAGTAGCTCATCAGACGTCAATATGTCCTCGCACTAATCGCGCAAGTGTACAACATGCACTTGGCGGGTTGGGCTGGCGCAGAAGTCCCACCTGTGATACCAAATCTAGCTGGTGCTAGCGAGAAAAAGCACTTGGCAAAACCACCACTGCAGTACATGTACACCCCCTTCAGATTAGTAGATCTTGGGTAAGTCGGGACAGAAGCGTGCGTAGAGACGGTGCGGATCAGTTTCGCGCCGGGCGCATCGGCCTAGCGACTCGTGATCCTAGAGCGACATGACGCAGATAAACAGTACTGAGTGCCCCCCCCCCTTCTTGGCGCGGATCGGTCGTTGTGTTTCCGCGGGACAGGGAGCTCTGCCGCGCGGTGCCAAGCTGCCGCCGCCTTTGCTACCCCACGACGTACCACGAGATTCTTTTCGAGAAGGACTGGGCCCGATCTCACGCCATGAAGGTACCAAGTGTCAGCTAGCCAGTCTTGCCGTTTCTCGCTTCGTGCTCTTGACTAAATAGCAGCAGTCTGCATTGAATTGTTCACGCATGCATGGGCACATTCGCCGACGATGCCAGCATTGGCATTGGAGGCGCCCTCATACCCCTCTCCCCCGGCTGCCTTTCGTTGTCGCGTCTCAGGCGACCATCGCCTTCCTCAAGTCGGGCGAATACCCGGCGCCCGGTGAGACGACGGTCATCACCCCACCTCGTCTCTCGGAGGAAGAGCGGCAGAAGAAGATGAAGCTGTTGCTGGTCCGCTTCTGTTTCGTGGTGGTGGGGGCCGGTCTCGGCGTGGCGGGCGTTGCCTTCTCCAAGCGCAGGGGCTCCGTGCTTGCGGTTCGGAAGTAGCTCTCGGGAAGTTTCTTTTGTCAATTTTCGGGGGTGGGAATTACGAAGCGTCAGGGTGGCATGGTTGCCGTAGGAGAAGGTTGGTCGCGTTTGACACGGCAGTGTTTGTCGTCAGCCAGTCGTGAACGATCTCGGCCCCCCTCTGAGGGTGCCGTGGTGGCGATGTATCTGAGGGTGCCATTGTGGCGATGTATCCGTCGTGACCCCGTTGTGTTATGTTCGGGTCTCCCCCTCGCACTCGGTTGAGACACAACCGAGATACTGGGATAGGTCCGCTTGATGAGATGCCATCACGGTAGAGAGGCGGGGTTAACATCCGTGAGATGTCAACTCCTGAGAACTCGTCGTGTTCACGATGTTTCGGTCCGGGAAATCTGTCCTGCATCATTTTGCGGCCGTAACGCCGTCTGTTACTCGTGAACCGTTTCGGCGCGGTAGGTCAAAGGGGTGGGTAAACTCGCGAGAACGTTGGTGTGGTGTGGCTCCGAGCGAACTGTTCGCTGTATACAACGCCCGCCGTTTATCGTGTTTTTTTTTTTACTACGTATTGTTGTTGTTGTCTTCACATTACGTATACCTTTCGTGGGAGGCTCGCACCTGCACGATGTATTTCAATTTTGTGCGACGATGGCGTTTTTTTCCGATACGTCATTACAGTATTGTAGCGACCGGGCTCGTGGAATGACCCAAGCAGTAACGGGTGTGTGAGCGTGGTGGCTGCGATGTTCTTGGCGCGGTATGCGGACGGTTAAGCTGGACGATCAGGGAGGGGGGGCGAGACCACCTGCCGGCCCCCCGCTGTGTCGTAGCGCCTGCGACCGATAGACGTCGATGAACAGAGGTTGATGGTGCTACAGTACTGAATGACCCGGTGTTTCTAGCATTGAATACGCTGCCCCTCTCCCCGCCGTCACTTTCTTTGACGGCGCCTCACGGTCGTTTGTTTTGGGTTAGGGATACGAACTGGCAGCGGCAGGTGTGCGTTGCACAGGAGTTCTTTTTTGTGATCCCTGTTTACAAAGTTCCTCAGTAGAGAAGACAAGGCCGCGGCTGTATCGGTGGTGGGTTTTGCGAGGAACGGCAGATGTTGGGGTGTTTTTCATGGCGCATCGATGCAAATTGGCCAAGGCGTTTGAATGAAACAATCGAAGTGTATATAGTCTATGGACGCAGAGAGAGAATAGGGTCGACATGTTGGCCTAATCCAAAGCCACCATTTTTTTTTTCAATGTACCCCAGCAATCGTATGACTCAAGTCTCGACAAGCATGTAGTACATGCCTGCATGTGTGTTTTCCCGTCCAATGTTGGGAGTGAGTCCAACTCCGTACGGAAAGTGCGTGTTTGGCGCACCAACCGGGGTTACACGAGATGAATTGTCTACCCTTCCTCCTGTGGTGCTTGCCTTCAATGCCTACCGCGAGGAGGGTGCAGCAGTCACTTATGCCCGTTGTTGTGTGCACTCACGACGCTGTGCTCTTCACCGCAAAACTGCGAACCTGCGCTCTTGCGATATGTAGTCGAACCCGGAACCTAGAGTCAGTAGGGGGTGCGATGCAGTCACCGAAGGGCGGCTCAAGTCGAACCGGCAACTCTAGCCAAGAGAAATGACTTCGAAGCATGCACAATGCTTGTTGTAAAACGGTTCAGCCAAGGTTCACTCTTCCGACATCCCCGAAAAGTGAACAATGCACAGGCAGAGGGGCTCCGATAGTAGCCTATGCTAATCCCCAACTACACCTTTTAGTTCAACCACGAAAAATGCTTCACTACGTTTGCTCGAGGTTCGACTCTGGATTAGGTAGTGTTTCATCCTATTGCGATCAAACCAAACGGTGTTCGGGCGGCATGCCGTTCCGTCGGGCCAGACACGACGGCCCAAGAAACAGGGTGCAGAGCGATGAACACGCGCTGAGATGTCCGTGCTACGTTCAAGGGGGAAACAAGAGCGACAAAGCGGAGTTGATTCCCTCGTGACTTCACTCTTTGGCACATATTTATAAGTCGGAAACGCAAATGAAGAGGCGAAAAGGCCGACATCTACCGGTCAAGCGAAAAAAACACCATGGTGGTGATACTAGATATGCATAGATATGAATAACAGCGAATGGCGTTCCCCGCATCTTTTTGCACCATCAGCCCACATGGTTTCATTGACGGTGCCCACGTCCGATGCCTGCCAAGGTCGAAATTGTCGCCGTGCTTGGGCGCTTTCACACAGGGCGCTGGGCATTCTGAGCCATATGAGGGGGCCATTCCTGTGTATCCTGTGGTCAAGCCTCGAGGTCAGTTTCAAACATATCGCCGAAGAACATCAACGCGGCCGCGTGCTTGAACTGACGTGGGGGGGCGTATTGACGCAGCCGCAGTATCACCAACACCATCAGTGCCAGAGCATACCGCCGCAGCCTCGGTGGTCACTCGACGGAGGCGTTTGTGGCAGACACATCCGGCCATGAGGTACGCCACAACCGTTGCAGCATACCCCAAATCCGTCGTTCTGGATGCTACTTCCCGCACGCACGCCCTTGGGACGACGCCTCCCACTGCTGGCCTCCGGCAAACCTCGGGCGCGTCGTAGGGTGTCTTTCCAAATCTGAAGTCGACAGGAAGACTACACCGGGGACAGGGGTCGGCCGTTGCAAGCACTCCTACTGGGTTCCACTGGCTGCAGTCTTCTGTGATGGCGCAGGTCCCATTCGCGTTGAGACTGTCGGTGGCACCATCACGATGGCTGAAGTTCACTTGTTGTCCATTGAAACTATTTCTTACCCTCTGTGAACTAGCGCCACTGCCGCTCGCGTCGTGTCTTTGGCGGACAGTGGAGTGAAAAAACGACGCGGCGATGTTGTTTACCGCGTGGAGGAGAGTTGTCGGCAGAAGCCTACCGCCCCCGAGGAAGTAGAGAAGGCAGTACACGTAGCCCGCCACCGTCGCTAAGGCGGTCTGCTGGTAGACCCGCCTGTTTTCGCAGATTAACGATGATGCCAGTGAGAACATTCTCTGGACTGGTCACAAGAACTATTCACTAGACCGCGTTGAGAACATTCTCTGGACTGGTCACAAGAACTATTCACTAGACCGCGTTGAGAACATTCTCTGGATTGGTCACAAGAACTATTCACTAGACCGCGTTGAGAACATTCTCTGGACTGGTCACAAGAACTATTCACTAGACCGCGTTGAGAACATTCTCTGGACTGGTCACAAGAACTATTCACTAGACCGCGTTGAGAACATTCTCTGGACTGGTCACAAGAACCATTCACTAGACCGCGTTGTGCGGTCGGGCCTTGAACGTTTGCCCCCCGTTTTTTGTACGAAACACGTGCAGGCGACCCTTGATCATTTTCCATCATACCCCTTTCGCTGACAACATTCATCTTACCATGATACCCGTACACCGTCGAGGAGCACGTGCATCAGCAGGTGAATCCCACCAAAGAGAGTTGAGGACGCGGCGGCTGCCCCAACTACGTCTCCGATCGTGATTGCCCCCCTTCCTGTCGTCAAGAGGCGATCGAACACCACACCACGATAGAACGCCTACCGGCGGACGAGGATGATTGACAAAGGTTTATATCTAACGCGGACACAAGACTCAACGGAGACAATACGAGCGAGACGCTGGTGCGCGGTATACAAATGCTGAACTTTGTCGAGTCTTCGGTTTGTATGTATACATGTTCTGGGGGAAACATTCGTATTATCGGCAAAGGCGTGATTCCTTGTGTGTTTCATCTCGACATATCAGAAACATGTATATCTCGCCTCCATCCGGTGCAGGCCCCACCAGATCACTGTCCAACAACAATGTGATGTGGACACCTAAGCGCCGGTCTCAATCAATCCGTCAACTTCTCGCGAAACCTGCGCACGTTACAGGCACTCTCTTAAACTACGCACTCAACGGGCCGTCACCACACGACGTACATAGCACCATCTACAGATATGTCACCTCTTCGAGCACGGGGTCCCTGACCATCGAGTTGACTGCAGCTTGGAAACCTAGCTGTTCCAGCGAATCGTCCACACACGAATAGATGGTTGGGCATCCCAGAGGTATGTTGGGAGAAGGAGAGCCGGGCGGCGGGAGGTTGAAGCGGCCATCGCAAAGAACAGACTCGATTTCAATGCGGTCAATGGTCTTGGCGGTTTCGTATGGGGCATATCGTCCGTCAACATCGTGATCGGACGCACGGTAGTGCAACAGAGAACTGCGAGGTTCGCATGCGTGTAGGCTACGGAGAAGATGGTATTCATGCTATATAATAAAGGAGTTGAAGAATCAGGATCCGGAGGGCGCGGTCATCACTCCAAGTAACCATCCTCCAAGCTCTTCGGAAAGAATGGTGCCGGGCGCATGTCCTTACCCCCTGAGTCGCAAACGGGCGACTACCCCCTTGACATTCAGTCACGATGACGTGGAGCTAGTGACGTTAACCCGCCAGAGAGGTCGGGAATGAAATGTCTGCAAATTATTTCCCTCGTGACTCGGGGTTTTTCCTCCTGCCGGGGTCACTCGAACTTTTTCCATCTAGAGGCATTGGCGCACCTCACCCCCAAACTCGACCGTCGGAAGGGTAGGATGCTATTGACGACGTGGATAGCTCGTCCATTGAACTGACAGCGGAACTCGGCGATGGAACAGCACCACACTCACCGAACTGTTTGACCCGAAGCATGCCCAGGACAGGAAGTTGTGCAATGAGGCGATATCGAGCGCGATCCCCGCGACGACGCCAGAGACGCAAAACAACGCGAGCGCCAGTGCCACTCTTCTGGTGACGAGTTGGCTTCCCGCTCTATGCAGGCCTCGCGGATGATCGCCACTGTCGATGCTGTCGATGTTTACAGGAGCGTGCTTGGCATTTGCATAGCGATGGACTTCTGATTTGGTGCTGAAAACGCTAGGAGCAATAATAACACGAGATTTGCCGTTTATGGCAGTATACAATGGCGTTCGTGCTTCTACGTGGATCTGCACTTGGCTAATACTGCCCAATCTGTGGTGAACAATCGCGAAATGATTCTGAAAGGAGGAATCACAAGCCAATTTCCATTGTAGAACTACTGTATCACAGTATTCTCATACAGTACACTTGCGCACTTGGAGACCTTTGCTACGGTACTTCAATACGCCCCCTAGATGGGTGCACATGTTAGGTGTACTTTGTTCTCCCCGCTATTCCACGAATCCTATCGCTTTCAATGCCCATACTCCGTGATATTGACTGGTACACGTGCTCTGCCTATAATAGTTGGTTCCTTCAACTTCCTGCCGCACTCCTTGTCACTACTGTACTGTAGACTAGTACCCATATGAGTATTTTTGCACGTCGGCCATGTTCATCGTTCTCAAGAGATGACTCCCTATGACCTGTTCACTGCGGCCGTCTGTATGAGGTCGTGACTCTCGTTGTTGAGGAATGCATATTTGGCGGCTGTATCAGCTGCGACGTTCCGACTCAACCAACCTCGTTTGTCCTCCATTTCTACGCATTATTATAGGGTATCCACTATGGATTGACGCGGAATTTTGACCTTTGAGGATTGACGCCAACATAAAGTGACGGTTGAGGGTTTTGACGGGAAAAAATTCGCACCGCGTGTGCCCGTTGACACGTGAGAGGTGAAAAAAAAAAATGGTGGAGGTAGAGTTCAAGGTTGGTTCGGGCTGCCACCCAGGGTCGACATTCCGAAGCGAAGACTCACACCCCCAGGCTCCCAGGAGACTAGGTGTACCCCTTCGCCTCATCCCGCCGACCTTCCCTCCTTTGCCGCGGCGACTTTTCCCAGGCGTCAAACTGCGACTTCCCAGGCGTCAAACTGCCGTTCGTTGCTGATGAGTAAGGCAGCTGCTCGCTGCACTGCTGTGTATATACCGATGTCACTGCGGCAGCAGAGCACCGAACCCCGTGAGGGGGCGGGCGAAATGCACCTACTGACTGGCAAAGTCCGTGTACCCTCCCTTACTCCTCTCCATGTGCTCCCTTCGAGGGCGAGACTCCCCCAATCACTCCCCTGCCTATGCCCCTTTTTGCTGCTGAAAGCCCGTGCGCAATCGCGACGGCGCATCTACCGAACGCGCGCGCCGAACACGCGCGTCTGGCCACTTGGCCGCCGTGAGAACTGCCGAGACGCGTGGGTGCAGGACCGCTAGGAGCAATCAGTATAGGCATGTCCAATGTGTTCGCTGCTGACCGCGCACAGCAGACCGCAGCAGAGCAAGCGTGTGTGAGCCACAGTCTGGCGATGTTTGAAGCGTCAATCTTTTCGCGTCGGTTTAAGTTTGGGTGAAATTTAATTTTGACGCTTCCTCACAAAAATTTCGCCGTCAGAGTTTGCCCCCAAAAAAGCGGCGCAACCTCTTCACGTCAAAACTTCCTGAAATGTCAATCTTTCACGTCATTTCAACAACACGTGGATTCCCTCTATTATTGTACTTCTCACCAGCCATGGTACCACGCGCGAGAGTTCGTCCCTATAGAGAACCGCCGCTCCAAGATCCGCATCGAAACAACCGTGGTCGTCCAGGACTCGAGCAGGATCGCGCTTGCTTCCCACGGCTCCACCTACAATACACGGGGATGAAGACCCGGACGGAAAGGATATCGGGCGTCCTCAACGACGTTCTCCGTTAACACATACCCTGCAAGCGGAGGACCACGCGACGAACACTATGATAATACCATACATGTGTAGACTGCCGTCATCTGTTGGAGGTTGCATGTGCCGAACGAGATCGACTCCTTAGACTACTGCTGTACTCATGGACCCAGATCAACAACGTTTGTTTCCAGCGCATGGCTACTCGATGTACTGCTGTACAGTACATGCCACTACATACAAACTGTAGTAGATATTCTCCCCGACGGCGTATATCCGCATGCCTCACCACTGTACTTTGTCCCTTGCCCTCCAGCGACAGAAAAGGAAACACGGCTGTGAATGCCAACCGCAGAGTCGTCAACAACAGCAGGACCTCCGCTTGGATACGAACGGTAGAGACAGCAGCCGAGATCCATCCACGCATGATTCCTCCGCCCTCCTGCGTAGAGATGGAGAGATGGAGAGATGGACAGAAGAAGCTGCGTACCGCTGTCGGGGGCCCCCTTTGCGATAATGTATGACACCCGTCTCCGTCACTAATGCGCCAGGCGGCAATGTCAGAGCGAGAAACAGGAGAGACTGGAGGGTTACTTCGGACTTCTGGCGGGCGGGAGCTCTGGAGGCGCGATTGTTGCGGAGAGTTCAGGGGCTCCGCACGGCGGATCTCGATACCCATGATATTTTCTCGATACCAGTCGTGGACCCCCCACTGCAAACCAACTGCCACCGCCAGCAAAAAGCCTGGAGTGGATCGCTGTAGCGGTGCGCAGGGCCGATGGAAGGGCCTGTGGCTGATGCACTGCTGAAGCTTCTTCGGTACTTCCACAACCCGGAGCTCGTCGGTTCTCTTCTTCTCCTATACGTCGTTGTGAGTGGCAAAGAGATGTATGTTCCGATGCTGAATATACCCGCCGCTGCAACGCTCACTTGGTACTAGCGTGCGAGAGAGCTGTGGGTCTGGCTCCATGCCACATCATTGGACGTTGTCGGAAGCATGGCTCACTGCGAACGAGGTATTGCCCCAGAGCACGATGCAGCAGTCCCTATCTATTCCCGTATGCATGTTGTTGAGCACGTGTTGACGGTGTCTCGGCGAAGCACACCTGTCGCTTATGTAACACAGATTCCCTTCGGTGCACGACCATTGAGGTTGCACTTGGCCATCCCCGTATTTTTGTATAGTCTACACACTACACACGCACTGACGGTTGTAGTTTGTGCGGCACGTGCCTTCGTTAACCCTATATCTACTTGATGACTACAAAGCAGCAGTAGGTGATACAAGATAACACACCCCCTGGCCCCATTTGTCGATTGTTCCGGACGACGAAGAAACATACATACATGAAGTGTAGATGACGCGAAATCGTGCGTTTTCGGAAGCTCTCGACGCCTTGCACCACCATTTTCAGCGCCTCCGTTCTTTCTTCTGTTGAAAAATCGAGCCTCGACAATCGGCGCATGGGGCGTGATGTCGTATGCTACCTATTCGGTAGTTGCTTCCTATCAGCGTTCCCTTGTTGTCCAGCCTTTCATCGGTCTCTCTCCTCCGTCCCTCTCATTTGATGGCGGTGGCCTGTGCGTTCCTCGTCACGATATCGCAGCATGTCGTTGGGTTCACGGTCAACATCCCGCACCTGTTCCTGAACGGGCTAAAGTTTATCGTTGCCCCCACGCAGGAGGCGGTACTCCGAATCAGGGTAAGAGGGACTGTCGTTGGTTGAGGTTAGATGCAGGCCAAATATCGCCAGGTATGACAAAGTGTGTCGAGATATTCCAACGAGCAGCTACCGCTAGCTTTTCCCCGACGGTTGGCTAGATGCAGGCAAGAAAACTATCTTAGACTCTTTTCTTTAGATAGAGATGGATTGGTTGGGTCATACTGACAAGATATAAAAAACACCAGGTGCTCGAGCAACTACCACTGTGTCCCGAGGTTTCCCACACGACCATATCGATGCGGATATCGCGGGCATATTGTGTTGATCCGCTGTTGTGCGTTTTCGACACACATTCATTTGTTGTTGGAAAAATCTGGTCTGGAAATGTCCGACCAGTCCGACGCGAAGGGACCGCGGCCCGAACCGCTCGGGCAGCTGGATAGGGAGGGGAAGGACGCCAATGCGTACGACAAGATGGATGCCCTTGGTCTCGCAAGGATGGAGGTGAGCACGCATAAGGGCGGGGGGTTATTCCATAGAAAAGCATGTTACCTCGTCTTGTGTGGCGTTCCGAGGGGGGTTGGCGAGGGTAAACATTTTTTTTCCTTGTGGACTGGTGCGCTCTCTCTCTCCCCCTCACCTGGACTTCCTCCCCAAGTCACTCGAGCAATCCTAGATGCCAGTTCGAGCGCGTTCTCATGCGTGGAAGTCAGTCCGAGCATGCCCTCAAACATCCAAGGGCCCTTTTTCGGGATTCCGGTGTTGTTCTTTTGCCGGTGCGTCTTCCGTGACGTCTCATGGCGCTCGCTTCCTTAACCGTGTAAGTATGGTAGCCGGTTCTTTGCCACGGGGGAGCCAAGGACTCTTTCACGTGATTGCGGTACGATGGACATGCACGATGGGCATGCCTCCGTTCAGTGCGCGGACAACCTTGGGTATGTTCGATTTTCAGTCTGTGCCCCCCCTATTTGTTTTTTTGTTTTGCTTGTCAAACGAACAAGAAACGAGTTCATCCTTAACGAAGGATCACAGTCCAGGAATTTTTGCAATTCGTTCATAAGCAGTGAGGTTCAAGTCATCCATCCTTCCGGAGCGTGCTCATGAGAGCACAGCAGTATCATCAAAGGAGGGTGATGCAAGAGGATACAAAAAGCAGACAACAGGACCAACCCACGGTTGCTTCAGTGTGGCGTTTCCCAAGCTCAACAGCTCACAAACCCGACGTTTTTTGGGCTCGAAGAGTCCATCGAACCTCAACGAACCAAAAAGAAGCTACAAGCGCACATTCAGGTCTCACGTCATTCCAGTCGTGTGCTGTACCGTTGCTCCCCACTTGATGTGCTCACGATCGCCGGGCAGGTTTCGCGTGGGACGCTGGGGGGCTTGATGTACTTCCCACAATACGAGGGGATGGTGCTGTGGGCCGTCATCGCTCTCGGCAACTTCTTCATCGCTCAAGGGAGCCGCTGCGCTATTCCCACGCAAACGTAAGCGGCTTCTGTAGCTTCGAACGACAATGATGCTGTATGTCGCAAAGAGGCTTTTTGCATGGAAGTTGTTGGGAAATCATCGCTTCAACACCCACGGAGTCATTTTTCTCTCGGTGATCATTTTAGGCCCTAAAAAAAACCAAAAGCTAAGAGTTTGACCATAAAAACAGGTGCCTCGTCAAGAAGCCTACTCTACAACCTGTATAGTCGCCGTTGGGGGTAGTCTATACCATAGAAAATGTGAGCACCGAGGTTCGGCCAAAAAAGAAAAGTCCCCAAGGAGTGGCGCGTTCTGTACCGCAAACCTCGTTCACTCCTTGCCTTCGGCGTTCTTCGACGCCCTTCGGTGTCCTCCGACATCCTCCTTTGGAGTTCCGATAGCCCACCTAGACTCGTGTCTTCTTCTCCTCCCGCAAACCCCGTTCACTCCTTCCTTCTCTTTGGCGCTCTTCGACGTCCTCCTCCTTCTTTGGCGTGACCCTTCGGGTGGGGGCAGACCCCTGGGCTGGGCTAGCCTGACGCTCTGCGGCGCGCTCCTCCGCTGCTGGTGGTGCAATGTCCGCCTCATCTACCTCCTCGGCCTCAACAACGACTACTCCAAATTCGCCCTCCTCTCCGGATTCTGCGGCCTTTTCGCCGCCGCCGCCGTCGCCGCCATGCTACCACCCTCCTTCCTGGCGTTTGACGTTCGGGCGGCCGCAGCCGCGCTGCACGCCTGGGGGGGAGCGGTGCGGGGGGGGAGTGATGCCGCGGTGCCCCCCGGTGGGGTGTCGGCCGTGGTTAGCCGGGAAGACTTCTTAGCGATGTTTCTGCCGACGGTGGCGGTAGTGGCGGCCTGCGTGACGGCGGCGGCGGCGCTGCCTGCCATTCGCTTCTCGCAGGTACGGTGTGTTGCGTACCGTGCTACCTCGGTTTAAGCCAAACCTTGTGTCTACAACCCGACGCGCGGAGTGTTGGGGACAGTTGTGACACTCCCGAGTGTTGGGGGATGATTGGTGCACTCCTTTTCTACTGGTGCTTGGGGCCTTGAAGCACACGTTTCCTTCGACGGCGATGCTTAACAGCATGGCCTAACCATCTTCGGCGTCTTCATCTATGTTGTATGCCAGGAGCAAATGGCACCGCCTGCTTTCTTGTCTCCGCCTTCCTCCCTCTCCCTCCCTTGTCTGTCGCATACTCCAGCCGCGTGGCCAGTGCTAGTGGAGCCTACCGCGTGAGCGTAATCATACCCCATCACCCCTCCCCACCCTTACCACCCACCATCTCGGACGGTCTTGTGTACCGTTCTAGTGAATCAGACGTGTGAAATCAATGCTCATGCCCTACACTGCCGATGGCCAGCCGCAAACGACCCCCCCTACTTCCTTCTACCGTGCGTGCCCCCCGCCCTCCCCCCCCCTACCTCAGTACTTCTCCCGCGCTCTCGGAAGGGGCAGCGGAGCGACACTCGTTTACCGCGCGCTACTCGTAGTCGATGGCGTTCTGCCGTGGCTAGCCTCCCTGGTGTGGATCAGTGAGGTTCCGCCGCTTGTCCTCGGCGAGCGTTGGGGGGGGGGCGACGCCGGCAGGGCATTGGCCTTGAGGGTGGGGGTTACCGGGCTAGCTGCTTGGGCCAGGCTCGCCGTGGGGAAGCTCCAGCTCCAGGCGTACCTTGAAGGGGTCAAGGAGTCCGTGCTGGTAGACCTCCGGGAAAAGAAGGTAGGGCTTGGCTGTGTGCGTTGCGTTCCAGGGATTTTTTTTTTTTTCGTTTGGTGAAGACGGCGGCCTCCGGGAGACGGAGAGGAAGAACGGCACTCGGCGGGAGATGTCCCGGCGACGTGTGCCGGTGCGGTGGTGTGATTTATGTGCCTTTGTGGCGCCTTTGGCTGGCGTACGTAGACCTGGCACGGGCGTCGGTGATCTCCATGTGTTCTCCTGTGGTTGGCCCATACACCGCCGTGCATCTGTCTTGGTAGTAGTGGCCCTTGAACGGCTTTTCTGACCACGAGGCCAGATGGCGCTTGCGATATTTCGTTGCTTCTTCTTGAGAGGGGGCACGAAAATGGAAGTTTTAAGCGGTGCCGCGGTTTCAGGTTTCCGGCAGCTTTTGGGTGGGGGGATTGAGGGGACCCCGTGTATGTGGGTTGCGCCTGCAGTTGTATTCCGTGCACGACAAGTTTGGGTTTCGATAGCACCCCCTTGGATATGGAGCAACCCATATTCATAAATCGACGACACGCCCGTACTTTTGCGGCACCTTATACTCGGTGTGAATTGGAGGTCGAGTGTCTCGCGCTGCATACCTGGACTAGATCCAATTGAGGCCTTGAACTCCTCCCGAGCTTTGAACGGCTTTGGCGTCGATTCGTGTCCCATCCGTTGCCCGAAAATCACTACGGTGGGGTAGCGTGGGTGTGCAGAGCACGCGTACGTGTCCTACACCACTGCCCGTTCACCAGCGTCGATTGTTTTCGTTTGACATTTTGCTGCAGGCGTTCCCTCACTCCCGTGACCCCCCCCCCTCCCCCACCCCCCCTTGTTGTTTGCCGTCGGGATTGGGTTTTCGTCGCTTGGCAACGACGTTGTAAAACAAGCCAATTCACTTCGTGAACTCGGCAACCAGGTTACCGTTTTTTTTTTTTTCCTCTGTTTTTTTTTTTGCGGTAACCATAACGGTGGTCGAGTAGATCATGTTGTGCGGGGTCGAGAACCCCCACTCCGCGCAAGGGGGATGACGTCACCACGTTGTGATGAAATGGTCAAGCATCCTCGAGGCAGTTACACAGTGCTTATAACTGTCTCTGGAAGTGAAAGCACCAGAAAATACATTAAGTCATACGCAGCTGTCATCCGTACGCAAGGAAGTAAGCACAAGATGCCGAACACCCCTAGCAGGATGCAGCGCACCCTTCATGCGACTCGCCGAATACCTCACGGCGCTTCGCGCTTGGTGATGTGAGGGCCTGGTCCGGTGAGAGCCCGGCGTGCTCCGTCCCGGCTTTGTAGGGATGCGAGGTCAATGGTCAAACGACTACGGCATGCACGACTATGAGTACCCCCCCCCCCCCCTTTACACGCACGCACCCGCCTTCAGGTCGACTCGCAATCCGTGCGGTCCAAGTTCGACGCCCGCTTGCAGTACCTCGTCATCGCAGCCGCGCAGTACGCCGCGCCTGCTCTCACCGTCCTCTTCTCGCTGGCCCTGCTGGTACACGTCGGCGATGCCGCCACGGGCGGCGACCTCGCGTCAGGTACAGGCGGGCGGGCAGGGCTTGGAGTCTGCGACGCCGCTCGACGTGTGGTGGGCCTAGAGTCCTGGGGTACCGCCTTCGCTGCCGCGGCGGGAGCCGCGGAGGCGCCGAATAGCGGCGCCGCCGTCGGCGGCGGGGCGGCGTTAGGGTTAGGGGGGGGAGGGCTGGCGGCCTTCATCTCAACAATTCCGGAGTTCCCCGAGGCGTTCTGGTCCGGGGTGACCGGGTTCTTGGCGTGGTGGGCCTGTCTCTCGTGGGCGGTGACGTACGCGGTTGGGGTGGCGTTCTGGTTTGTTTTTCCGGAGGACGTCTCGGTGACGGAGAGGGTCCCGACAGATAGGACCACCAAGGGCAAGAAGGAGAGGGTCAAGGGGAAGGCCAAGGCTAAGGGCGGTGGCAAGGGAGCCGGTGCCGGGGGGAAGGGCTAGCGTCGGCGAGCGAGCGAACCGTGGGCGCGTTGAATGATGTCGCGGCATTCGATAGGGAGCGACGCATGTACAAGTTAGGGTACGATTCCAGGAAGGGATGGTGGCGTGGAGAAGGAGGTCAGCGCCTCTCGCCCGATCATTCCCGTAAGCCGCTATAGAGTTGATCTCTGTTATTCGTGTCGGGGTGCTTGTCCTGTCTGTTCATGTTGGAGTAGGCAATGAGCACAGCCGTGGAGCTAGGTGCCTATTCCGCGGGGATTGGGGGAACCAAGCACCTCGTCTGGTCGCGGCTCTGCCGTCTTTTCGATTTTTTTTTTCCATCTCTTTATAGCAGTGCTTCGCAGCTTTTCTGCCGGGTACATGTAGGAGCTGCAATCCGTGGTCACACAGAAGGGCTCTTCTCCTTTGAGACCCCTCCTGCGGTGGTTGGCTTCGGTTTTTGGCGCGTGAAGATCGACAACTTTCCGTCCATGACATTCAGAACACGCTCGCTACACATGTTGGAGAAAATCGAAGTCGCGGGACAAGGTATTCAGCACAAAGGCCGGTCTACGAGGAACGGAAGCCAACCGCTTCTTCGTCTCCGGCGTGGTTTGGGTGCAGGTGGTTGCCTTACGCTTAGGGCTCTTTTTTCCTCCTGCAGTAGTGCTTGCATTCAGTGCGCATCGCGAGAAGGGGTCGGCAGCAGTTCCCAAGCTCTAGCTTGGGTCTCTCCCGACCAAAAGTTTCTTTTTTTCGCCGTGTCATTTTCACTAGCATAGCCCACCCCTTTCCCGACCGAGCCTCAAAAGCCGATCTCGAGCTACAGCTCACGACGTGCGACAACCGAAGCATGACCGGTAGGGCAGCGCAAATCATGACGCCTCCCCGAGTTTCAGCAGCTCCCGCTCACTGCAGCGGACAAGGGGCACCGTTGTATGCTTCGCCCTGTTGTGCGGCGGTTGAACAGATCGAGGGGCCCTGTTCGAAAGAAAATCATATCCAAGTGGCAAGCACGGGGGGATCGGTCCGCTAATAGGACTGATGTGCTGCCTTACCATTGGAACGTCGGCAGGGAAAACACCCGCCTCCTCCTGTTCCGTGATGACTGCCATCGGTGCGGTCTTGCTCCGTGGCGGGGGGAGGCAGTTTTGAGAGAGAGGAAGTCGGCGTTGTAGCTTCGAGACGCCAAGGATTCCAGCCAGCGCTATACGCGCGGGTTGTGTTCGCCGATTTCAGAAAAGCTTTCCGTCCAATTGTATTCGGAACCGAGAGCGGCACGGCTGATGAACACGATAGGAATCGTGCCGCCGTCCTGTTCACGGTCCTGTTCTTGCTCTATGTAGAGTCGAGCCGAGGCCATTATAACTATACTGTCGGTGTAGAACCAAACGGGGCGGGTGCCGTCCTCGACTGTATCCCAGTTGGGGTACACCAATACAGACAGGTGGTTGGGCCAGATCAGCATGCATCGAGCGCTCGGTGGCCTCCATCTGTGGGGTGAACTCAAATGTCGTGTTCTTCCGTAGCCGCCCGTTTACACGTAGGACGTGTGTGCTTGGCCATGTTCGGGATGGAAGGCCGGCCTGCAGTAGGACAGACCTCGAAGGAGTGAACTCCAAGGAGTGAACGGCAGTTGCATCACATCTTTCGGCATTGGTATTTTGGTGCGTGCCGCGACTTGTTCTGCGCAAGGCCGGAGGCCAGCAGGGGAGATGGCGAGTCCAAGAATATCGGAGTGTCGGCGGTACCAACGGTACACTTGACGGGGGTATGTTTTCTGAGCCGCGCGAAACTATCCACGTCATCTATTGTAGGTAGGCGGCGACATTCTCCAGCCCTTTGATCACCTCGTAAATTACACGCATGAAGCACTGGGGGGCAGTATTACAGTAGTACACCCTGGGGCATGCGACACTATTCCAGGAGTCATGTCGGTGTACAGAGGCCTTCAACGGTGTCTTTGTGGCTCATGATTATTTATTGAAACGACGAAGTGAGATCGAAGCGGGAGTACACGTTGGGTCTTGGCGATTTTTCTTAGTAGACCGTCAACTCGAGGCAAAGGGCTGTGAGGCATCTGAGTGATATCGTTGTTCTGGCAGTTCACCGTGATGTATATGCCACCAGACTGCTTGGGTTTCAGTAGTCTGGAGGCAATCAGATGGAACCAGTTCCGGCACGGAAGTTTCTTGGAAATCTGTACACCCATTGGCACTACGTAGTCTCTTCCGACAGGCGAAACTTTTCGAAAGAACATTGAGGACAGGAAAACTCAAGACTGTTCTGCCTGCCCAACTCTAGAGTCAATTAGTTTGCTGTACGAAGTAACACTTTTCACTACCCACAGTGAGTGATCCTTTTCGCCTACAGTGGGCATGTGACCGCGGCGTATACATTTCATACAGTGGAAATATACCCATGGGCGAGAACCTCCTGTCTGGGGCAGGAGGCCTCCTCCAAATCAACACTTCCATCAAGTGATCGACAACGGTGTCAAGAATACAGCAAGTGCACGCCACCACGTGTTCGCAGCCTGTGTTATGCGGCTACTCTCTCACGATAAGCAGCCCACATCAAGTTCAACATCAACAGCCCCATTTCATCCGGAGGACGTGGCAAGCAAGAAAGTTCATCACTTCTTCACCTTCAACGGCGGCCCTGGTGAATTCATCGAGACCCCAAACCATGCCGCCCACATTATTAACATGTATGGCGCCAAATTCGAAGAAAGTCGTCCTCTGTGAAACACCCCAGTGACCAACGTTGTCTTTCCCATTGTGGAGACTAAGAAAAACGAATGGCACCGCTGAGGCTTGCAACTCAAATGCAACATCGCAAACTGAGTCTGCCGTCTTTGGAGGACGTTGGCAAACACCACATCGGAATACGTTCCCGTGAGGGTCTCCAACACGTTCTACAGTTTCCGAAACGACCCATGGGACTCCCATGGGTGACCCATGGGTGACCCATGGGTGACCCATGGGCCGCCTATGGGCTTGTTCATGGGTAGCCCCATGGGTGGCCCATGGGCAACCCATGGGAAGCCCATGGGCGGCCAAGGAGAGCCCTTCAACCGAACCAGTGTACTCCTAAACAATAGCTTATCCGCGTTGGAACTGGCACGAGCGGCTAATAACCGTAACGCTAACCCAACCCTATCCCCAAACCCACACCATACGTCCTAGGTTGGCGCTGGTGGCTAAGTTCTAGGTTCATGTGCAGGTGGCTAAGTTCTAGGTTGATATGCCGGTGGCGAAGTTCTAGGTTGCAGTGCCCACGGTGGGCACTTCGTGGGCCGCCCATGAGCAGCCCATGGACGGCCCATGAAGTGCCCATGAAGTGCCCATGGTGTCCCATGGGCGATTTCGCAAAACTATCAGTAGTGTGGGAGATTGGTCACGTATGGATGCTGCAGTTTTCGCTATGAGGAAAGGACCAATCAACAAGAACCTGTGACCATTCTGCATCTTGATTCTCTACACCGTAACCATCTGTTGAACGAGCGTGGCAATTGGTGCACCCTATTTCTGTAGTGGCAATCTTCCCAAAACTTGCAAATTTCACACGCTGAAACGTCGTATTGGCTAAATATGGGCAATAAACACAACAATGTTGGCAAAATGAAACTCAGAGCATACTAAAGTCAACATGTGCGGGTCGCTAGTATCTCTGCATCATGACAAACGTATATGGATGCCGGTGAGGTCGGGTGCGTGTGCCGCGATGATGTGTTCACGGCAGATTGGACCACGTGGGCTACCTTTCGCACCGAATTCGACTGTATGCCAGCAATACGACTGTGCGCCAGCTGGACAACGACGGGGAACACCGCTGTGCCGTTGGTTCGTTCTCTTCCCTGTCGGCAATAAAAGTAAGTTATTCGTCTACAGCAGTTTTTTGGGGTCCGCGACACTGTGATGAGCAAGTTGCCGTTGCAAAACACAAATGCACGCATTCCGGCGCATTCTGATGGGTAGGCCGTTCTCAAATCTGTATTGGCTCTAAAGTAACGGTACACCTGTCGGTTCTTGACGAAATGACAAGATGAGTCCGTCCCCATTTCCATTCTCAAGCCTGAAACAATAAGCAACAAGAAAAAAACAGCTTGGGATTAGCAACGCCGACGATATTCGTCGGCTTGCTTTCAACAATCTCTATATAGTCTCAGTTTTTTTTACTCCGACAGGAGAGTGTAAATCTGCAACCTCTAGAGCCAGACGGTTTTGCTAGACGCACGCAGTAGACCTCCCCAAACTACCGATTGGCAAAGACCATTCAAGGGTATTGCACGCGCACATAGAAGTATCTGGTACCTCGTTGGGCACCGATGGTTTGGCTGAAGGTCGAACATGCAGTAGACCTTCTCTATAGCCCGAACGGTGAAGGCCATTTAACGTGTACACGCATCTACAGGTACCTATTATCCGCTGAAACGTTACCCACTTCAGGAATCAGGCCAGCCGTCTCTACTTCTATCTTCGAGATGCGCTTGCAACACCACGGATGTTGGCAGATCAAGAATGCGAAGAAGATGCCTTCGATGCTTCCGTGAGCTCCTCCAAGCAGTCCTTACACACCCATTCATTGTTTCCGACTTTAGTCCTCCGCAGCTGCGTTGTCAAGCCGGGTACATCAGAACATACGAGCGAAACAGTAGACCGAGGTGGAGAAAATCAAGAAGGACGAAGGACACGGTCAAATTTCGCGAGAGGGGCACCAAGAGGGAGACAAACGCAGAAACGTTTGTACGGTCAACGTTCACGGGACTGGGGTGGCAAGGAACCGACACGATGCTACCACCTCTCGGACCAGCTATCATCCTGGCCGTTTCTCCCTCGACGAAGCACTGATTACCAACAACTGTTCTAGATTCTTCCAATTTTCGACAATCCGCATCCGTTGTCAATGGGGTCATTCTTTCCTACGTTCTTGGTTCGACGGTGTGGTTGGCACACAGTTCACACCAGAGTTAGTATTTGAGCTCTTGCGATTCGCATAATTTATTTTCGCTCGCGACCAGACAAGGTGGCGACGACACGACAAGAAGAGGATATATCTTGCACCAGGGCATTGGTTCTGTCTCCGACCTGGTTCCGATCTACGGACTCGGGTTCCTTCTCTTCTTCAATCTGCCGTACCGCCTCCTCGCAGAGGCTCCCCACAAGCGCCTGCAAGGGTAAATGGAGCGGTACGAAGGTCCATGCGAAAGTAGTCGATCAGAGAGCATCACCCCGTAGCAGCAAGTGATGCGCTGGTGTTGTACATCAGGCACGGGTTGGTTTTCCTCCTGTCAAACCGTGTTCACTTTGAGAGAACCAAGGCCAATTCCTGAGTGCAGAACAGCCCTCGGCCGAGAGCAAGCCGGAACCGAGATGAGCCCCGGCACGTTATTTAGTGCGCTCTATGTGGTTGGTAACAGTATGAGTAATGGGCCAAAGATTGGTTTGGGAATCAAGTGACAGCAGGCCAATATGGATGTGAAATGAAGAACGATTTCGAATCCGTTGACCAGGTGTTAGGGCGCATCAGGTTTGTCTCCGAAGCACGCGCGCCGATGCGCCCACACCCACATTCTCTCTCGTGAATTTCCGAGACACTCCGGTGATGAACATATTTTCAAAATCGCCGTTTAACATCCCACTTTACTCAGTACCCACCAGACCGCTTGGGAGGTTGCGTTCTTGTGGAGATTATACAAAAGGTCGGCAGTATATCCATGACCGGACCGGGGGTCCCGGTGGGCGCTGTACCTGGAGATTCGAGGAGTGGCAGCTCCTGTGCGCCACAGAGTTGCAGACGAAGCACCCCAGAAAGTTATTCCCGATGGACACGAGTCGGTCGCAGTACCCGCAGAAGGCGTTCCGATCCCACACCGCTTTCCAAGGGTGATGTGATCGGTAGACACAGTCAGCAATGACATTCTCCTCGGAAACGCGTTGAGTTAAGTCGGACGGTGTGGCGTGAAGCCCCTTGATGGCTCTCAAGCTGATTTCGGCGTGCGGGGACGAAGATGGCGAAGCATCACATGGAGGGGGAGGGGGGTGACATTGCGTGTACAAGAGAGTTCTTGATATCAACGTATAAAAAGGTTACGCTGAGAGATGCTGAAGAGACAGGGGGGGGTTGTAGAACGCCTGGTTTGGCCCGCATGTCCATCAATAAATTTGCTCATCGATGTTCCAATTCTCACACCTCTTGCCGGACGAATGCCCTGAGAAGCCATGGAAGGCCATACATTTCAGAGAAGACGTGTCCATGGTCTCTGTCTCGGCTCGCAGCTTCGAGCGGAGCAACTGTTTCAATCTAGCCCTCCTCCATAGAACGGCAGGGCGTCGTTCAGACTTTTGCTCTTCTTCCTCACCCTCTCCGTCGTCCTCCCCTGTTGGGACTTCGCGTCGGAGTCTCCTTAGCAGGGTAAAGCGGGCACAGGTAATATGCGAGGCCACAAAATGGTGGGCAACAAAAACAGCAGTGTACATCGCATAGAGATGAGGGGGACAGGAGCACTGTCGCCACCGCTGCAAGTTTTTCTGTGGGACCTTAGTCGTGGGGGGCACCGCAAAGGCTGTTTCGGTGTTCCGCTGTCTTTGCCGCAAAGTTAAAACAAAAACAGACGTATTCGGCGTTACCCTGAAGCCATGTCGCTCCCCGCGTGGGCAATCAGCGCAGAGGACGACTGCGAGAGGTGGCAAATCTCAACCTGTCGCCTCCGATCTTCATCCTTGCTATCATCCGACCGTGCCTGCGTCACGCCGTGACACGAGGAAATGACGGGAGATGGGAGACTTGCGTTCAACGTGCGGTGCAGCTCAGGCATATGCTGCTTCAATGACGGCATTTTGGTTTCACCAATGACTACGTCTCTCGTGTTGTTTCCGTCTTCACGTGCGTTGAGTGGTGGGGCTACGGTTTCACTGTTGTTGTTGCACAGACGATTCGAAAAAAAAAATGTACGGAGGTGAAAAGAACTCCTGTACACGAAAGCTTCCGGGGCTGAGCAGGATTCCCCAATAGCGCGTTGTTTGCCCCGGGAGGAGACCTTTGCGTAAAGCAGCAACACCGCCTGGGATAAACAACAAGACCATCCTGCGCGGAAACCTGTAGTCGACAATTTATTCTTCGAACTTATTTTCAGTGCCTGACCACCTGCAGCCATCGACACACTGCATGAACGGCAGATCAATCCTCACAGAGACATCCAATCTAGCACGAAATTCCCATTTCCTGCTCTCGGTTGCGTCATCTCCTGAGCTTGTCTGTCCAAACTGGGAGTTTTCCGTTGGCTGGTGTGGCGCTACCGTTACATGCACCCCTGGCTCTTGGCCTGTTGAACACGATATTTCCATCAGGCTTGAAACACGACGAGACGCCGAAAACCAAGTCGCAACAATCAATCGCCGCTGGGACGTACTGTAGTCTTCGTGCTACGTGCTACGTGGCCCAACCCTTCATCGTTTTGCTCGAAATGCGTCTCACCAGGCGAAGCTGCTGCCACACTCGACTGCGGAGAGTATCCTCCTCCCCCGACGAGCAAAAATTTGGTGGTCCATGGTCTAAATGCATGATTCCATGCACAAAGCAGCACAGTCGAGGGTTCTTGATGCCGGATGGATCGGCGAATGCCTGCTCGTCTCACACAGAGCTCTTTCTATGCTGTGACTTTCTGAATTATTAGCAAGAGAAGCACCGCCAACGCTCCACACATTGGACTGCCTGACGTTCCGGAGCAGAAAAACCCATGCATAACGAAAGTAGACAAGCCGGTGGTAGTTGCGCCGCACCTGCCCCGAACCGTCACGTGTAGGTGGTTTGGCCTCGTCCGGCTCTATTTTTTTTGCTCTGCCCTCTGCCCGCTGCCCATCGTCCGTCACCAGTCACCAGATTGACAAACTCGGCCCCCGCAGCTCGGCCCCGGTGTCACAGACGAAGTGGAGCGAAGCACATCACAGCGGATACGGTTGACCAGGACAAATCATGTGGATTGTGCGAAGTGGCATGGTAGTCTAGCTGTTTTCGGTGGATTTGGTGAAAGTGGACGCTTGAGGGCTGCAGTTCCCTGGCTCCAGCGGGGTTGTCTGGTACACAGGGCGTTTAGGCGACGGAGGTGTTTCACAGGGCAGAGAAAACCCTCCTGTGGACCCTGTGGTGTGGTGTGGGCAATGTCTTTATCACAGGAGGAGATAGATGCCTGCCAGGAAGCTTTTCGAGAGGTGGACGTGGGCAGGCGGGGGAACATCAACGTGTGGGAGCTCCGCATCGTTCTCCAGGGTAAGTGCCCCCCTTACGTCCCACAACGAACGAATTTGAGCGAACGCCAGCTTTCTGAGCACAACAAGAGTGGGATGCGGCACAAGATAGGGAGACCTGCTCGCGTAGAGCGCTCACCCTCTTGGTGCGACGAGCCACTCGGAGTAACTCGGGAGGGGGTCAACACTGCCGCATCAATACTATCACCACAGCCACTTTGGAGGCGGAATTCGAAGCACCTTCGGAAATCTTGCCGATGCTACACACTCCTACACGGAGGCGGTGCACACGAACACTTACGGCCCTAGGACACATGGAAGAGTACAACTGTTCTACTGCGCATTATGCGGATGGGTGGATGACGAAGAAGACGAGGAATCGGTTGTTGTCTACATATGTACCGGTACTGCGGCAGAAAAGTGTGAACTGCGAGTAAACCAATAAATCCAAACGTTTGACACTTGCTGGCCCAACACTCGCAGCCGCTGGCCCCAATCCCCAGCGGGTCGCCCAAGAAAAATTGAGGCTTACGGTAGGTTTTGCTATGTACACAGTTCAAGAAATGGGGCCTGTTACGTAGTACAGAACGCGCAGCAATCAAAGAGGCCTCAAACCTTTCATCCCGCAGCAGCAACCTTCGGCAGCACGGTAACAGCAGCCCTGAAGCCTTCAGCAGGCTTGCCAATGCCTCGTGATGCCCATGAACTTCCGCCCTCTGGAATGATTCCAAGGCACGCTCTCCAGTATCGTCTGTAGCCCTCCTTTTGGTAGCTTGTGGAGCAAGTCGGAACTTGATCGAAATTCGTGCGCGTACTATAGTCTACGCCACAGACCCTGACGCAGTTTCTGAGATGCGCAGCATGTGTGGGTCGGGCTTTACATCGGCCGATGGAGCAAGCCTAAACGAAGTAGTGAATGGCAGCGGATGAGAGTTCCGCTGACGTTCGTTCGGGCTCAGGTCAACTCCAACTACGAACAGACATCCCCAGCTTTCGCTGCCCTCGCCGCTGCCTTTCATCGTATTGGGTACATGAGACTCGAGTGATGTGCATCATGTTTTTGGGTCCACCCAAGCAGACAGAGTTTCCCTTCCTTGCACCGCGGATCCATCGAGACAAAAAAAAAAAATGCAATCTCATGGCTCGTTGTTGCCATCGAGGATTGGCAATGTGACGTCGGAGATGCTGCACTAAAGCTCCGGCCTACTCGCCCTCGAACTCTTCGACCCGCCCTGTAGAAAACCTACGTACCTTGTTGGGCAAAGGTTTGGAGAGGTACCGAAACAATTTTGGATCAAAAGCTTTGCGAAACGAAGGGTAACACCCGATGGGTGAGACTGAAAACAGGTGTGGGATTCCGGAATGATGACATTGGTTACTTCCCTATGAGTCGACCTGGGACGGGAAATTTCCCTCTTGTGAGGGATTGAAGCTGCGAGCATGCTCCCAGCAAGAACTGGGCAAACATCTAAACCACCCCCATGCTCTTCTACCTTTTCATGGTGTGCAGTATTCACCGAATCGATGGATAGATAGAGGTTTGCCTGCCACGCACTACCACAAGAGCAACACGTCGGGGCAACGGCCATTTTTCATCTTGCCTCGCTGAGCCTCGTCACGCACCAGCTCCTTAAGCACTCGCTGCCTTGCTAAAATCAAACAAAATAAAATCAAACAAAACAAACTGGGGCACGCCCATTTGTAATGCGATAAACTCCGCCGAGACGATGCTAAGCTGCAGTCTCTGTTGGGCCAGAACGGGCGCGGAAAGGGCCAAGAGCGATACAGCCAGAGGTATCTAGTCTACTGGAAATGTTTTCGTTCCTTCGTCCAGGACATTTCCATCTCTTTATTGTTCCCGTGGGAATCTTCTACACCTCTCATGCTTGGAGAACCTTCTAACGACTCGCAACCCTGCCCTGCCCTGCCCTTGTTCTCCTTCGTCACGCCGCCACACGTGGCCGGCGCCGCTGAAAACGGACGGGATATCCTCCCGGGGCAAAACCGCAGAGCTCGGGCAGAACCCCACCGACAAGGAGTTTTTCGAGGTGGTTAGCACGGTGGACCGGGAGATGAAGGGCCTCATCGGTAAGAGTTAATGTTTTGTTTTCACGGTGGTTCTGGCACACTCATTCCAGCCAAGTGACGCTCTGCGGGCCACGCAAATGGTGGTCGGTTCATCCATTTGGTTTTTGGCGGGTGTGCGGACTGTTGTCTGTCGATAGAGATGCGTTCGTTGTGTAATAATGGATGAAGAAAAAAAAACATGAGGTGCTCTCCTGGCAAGCCGGCGGTGGTCGGTTCATCCATCCGCGTTTTTGTCAGAGAGTTCCCCCCGGGAACCTAGGTTGCAGCGGTTTGGTTGAGATGGTCGGCTACTGTGCTGCCGTATCACCAAATAGCTTGCAAAAAGGCGGACGAGTTCCATTATGGATTGTCGGGACGTCAGGGTGCAGGCTGAATCAGGCGTGGGGTACGGGCACTGCTGTCTGCTTGCATGTTGATTGGCTGCTGGGCACCCCAGTTTCCGAGGAGTAGTTGAAACAACCACCAGCGATTGTCGGAACACGTGACAACAGACGTCACCGAAAAGTACTAGCAGCACCGGCACAAGCACACACGTTATCGACTCTTCACTATCAACAGGGTAGATATGCCTTCGCGCTTTCCCCAGCAGCCTTCGACGGGAGCAACAGGGCAAGCATTGCGTGGCCTGTTCTCGGGTAGGCGCGCCTCTATGCAATCTTTGGCCGCGGCTCGCGGTATTGGCTTGCCTGCGGGTGGGGGAGTCAGCGTTCAATCTCAGATACTCTCTGTACCCGAATGTCGGGGGGGGAAGTATTTCGCGGACGAGTATTGTAGGCTGCCGGCACATCACTCTTTGTTTCAAGGTGACATTGCATTGTCTCATGATGCCGTTCGTGAGCTTCATGCGCCCGGTGTGGGTCGAGTTGCGACGATAATGGAAAGGAATGCCCACACCAGTCTGCGGATACGATATGGACGCATATCTGTAAGGATAGTGCCGTAATCCCTCGGAGCTATATCAGGACTGGAAATCGGTAATCAGGTCGGGTGGATAAGAGGCTTATTTTTTCTTTTATTTTTCAAGGGGAAGGTCGACAGTAGCACCACCCCCTGAAGGCCTCGGAGTTATTCTAATGGTGGACGTTGGCCGAACGCGGTGGACGAGCACGTATTTGAGCGACAGCAGTCGGCGCCAAAACTTCAGGCTGTTCGACTTTACACACCAGGGCGCCCTCTTGGTTCCAATTTTTGTAACTAGTCCAGCGGCGTCCGTAGATTTCAGCTCAATTGTCGATGGGAATTCCTTATAGCCTGTGCTAACATGGCCACTAATGGCACGCGTTTGTGTATGTGTGTTGCTGAAGGGTACGAAGACCCGCTCCCTTTTTCGTACCGTTTGTTATCCAGCCCATCGTCAATGGTCCCCACAGCTTCATGGATGGTCAGGTCCCAACTCCTTCTATTATCCTTGTTCGTTCTCGCTGTCGGAGTCGGAGACATCCATTGCTTCCATTCGTCTGGTCGGATGGAACGCTCTCACAGCACCACACTCCCTCCCTCATTGCGACGGCAGTCTAAACTCCTCCCGCGTTTCCATTGCCTCGTTTACCTGGCCCAGACTTCACCTCCTTTTTGAAGATTGTCGCCAGCCAGAAGAGCGTCCGGAGCATCTGGTCTGGCGACAGCGGAGATTTAGGTGCGCATCAATGCCATCGGTCTGCGAGCCTTGATTGAAAGGGTCAGGCAGGGGTGTTGGGTTGACAGGGTATCTGAACCGGTTGCACTGGGATAATGACGTTCATAATCGGCGTAGATTCAGAGCCGTTTGGTGCTAGAATCGCATATTACCGGCTCAACACCACTACCCACCAGCAACAACAACAATCACAATCACAACCACCATATTTCCACTGCCATAACGACAACACCAACAATGAAAGAAATTGTACCGTACCAGCACCAATATGTCCTGGGCACTCGCGTGTATGGGCGCGAACATTCTCTTTCCTGAGCTCCAGAAGAGACTGTGCGTTGGCGTTCGGGAAAACGGCAAACAACAAGTTTCATATGTAACTTACTCCGAAATCCTGAGTGGCGGCTACCACGTCGGTCCGCACTAGGTGTTTGGCAGCTGGCTTTCAATTTCAATGAGATTCATTGACGCTCACGGGAGCTGGGGAGGTACTCCCGCATATTGGTTGGTTTTGGTTTTCTTCGGATATGGAATTTCCGAAGGCCATTTACACAACAAGAACTGGGGCACCCCCCTTATGGCGACGACGACTTGTTTTGATGCTTTTGTGAAAGCCGGGTGAGATGAGACGAGGAGGTTGGCGTGGTCGGATATTACATGTAAGGCCTGGCGCCGTGAATAATCTTGATGTGGCACCACATCAGAGCCCTTGTCAGGACCCTTCTCTCAGGTCCGTCGAGTATTTTGACCTGCATGGAGCGACGGTGGTACTGAATACACCACTACTTCCTTGATACGAAGGTCTTCTTTTTCTTTTGCCGGTCACGGAATATTGTCCTGATGTCCCATGCACCCCACCCGGTCGCCTCGCTCGCTCTGCCAAAGTCGACGCCTTCGTGGCTTGCGGTGGAAACCCGGACGAGACTGGGTCCGCGGACGTCGACAAGATCGTCAAGATCGTCAAGACAGACTTCGGCCTGGACGTCGACATCGAGGCCATCATCGACACACTTGACGTCGACGGGGCGGGACAGCTAGGGTTCGCCCAGTTCAAGGAGATGTTGACGGCCTCGTGAAGAGTATAATCGCTCTCGGGGAGCGCTTGGATAGTCGGAAATGTTGAGGGTCGTTTTGGGGACCCCGGCAGCCTTTCCATGGAAGGAAAGCCGTGACTCGTGGAGCAATGCGTAGGTGAAGCAGGACTGATGTTTTGCGGGGTGTTTCGTGCATAGGGTATGGGATGTCTCGTCGATGCACAAGGGGCCAGGTCGTCGTTTTGCAGGGCAGGCTGAAAATGAGCGACGTTTGAGGGGTTGTGTTCCAACAGTCAGACTGTATCGGGTGTATGAACGGTATCAATGTTGGATAAGGTGGGACTTTCGCTACATTGTTCAACAGAGGCTACTGTCCAGGAAGACCTCTAGGAGAAAAAAACAGTTGTATTTCATTCGAAGCAAGGAACACGCTGCAAGTTAAACAAATCTAAATCTATCCTTGTGAGGTGTAGTGCAACTGTACACGATGTTTGTATTGTCTTGTGTTGGTTCAAAGTGAACAATCAGTTCGCTGTGGAAGAGAGGTGCCTTGACATAGACGCTAGATGTTTGAGTTTGCGTCCGGACCCTGCCTGAATGCTGGATAGCAAAACTCGTACGATGGAACGCCCCGTCCAGTACACCCAATCGGAACACAACTTGCGACGACCAACGCGAATGGACGAAACGTCATATATCCGGAACACAAATGCGAGAAAAATGTAGCTGACGCTCGCCGAAAACTCGCCGTACAGGCCAAGCCGCAACGAACGGCCCCTAAATTGCTAAATTGTAGCCGACAGTCTTTGGGAGGTGTCGCGGTGGCACGTGACCTAGAGCTTCGCATACAACCTTGGGGCAAGAGAGCGGACCACCTGCAACTACCCCCGCACCAGAGGCCGCTATAGGGCGTGTTACGGCACCACCTGTTGGTGAACACGCAGCAAAAAACGCCTCGACTGGGGGACTCGTGATTGCCCCAACCGAACATACTTACAACTGCATTTCGGCAACCTCCAGACTTGACCGTCATTTTCAAACTGTTTTCTGCGGTTCGACGACGACACGGACGGAATAAACCGCAAGACGCGGAACTGTCATCTGCAGAATAGGCGGTACATCTCTCGGAACGTCTCTTTTCGTGGGATCAGGAAGACCACCAAGATACCGGGGAAGGATAAAACGGGCAGACACGTTCCTATTGGTCAACACCGGCGCCTCCGGAAAGCGGAATCACATTCCAACGTTTCATTTGCTCTGTACTCATTCGCACGCGCCCCTCTTCTCACAACTATCGCCCACCCGCATCACACCAATATTTCTCAAGTCTTCTTCACAAGCGACTTATTTCAAAACTCATGTCGACGGGACTCAAGACAAGACCAAGGGACCTGCGTTAGGTCAAGTTCGACCGCCAGCTTGTCTTGCTTCGCCGTCGTCGTGGTTTGTGCTGCCTTTGCTCATGCCCCCCCTCATCTCACGCACACCTTCTTTCCTATCACTTCTTTCTCTGCACGTTGATTTTTACCAAGCAAGGCGGCAACCCTTGCAACTGTGGCACCAAGCGTTCCGCTGGAGGCTGCTCCTACGGGTAAGTATGAAAACATCCACAGCAAATCTGTTGTTTAATGTGGCACTACTACGGTAATCCCGAAGCAGAATTCACTCAAAACATCTGCGAGGTTCTGTGCACTCTACATAGATTACCTCGATTGTGCTGTTTCATACAAGATCGAAAATATTTAGGTCTCCCGAGAATACTCCTACGCGGAAACGAGGCCGTCAAGACAGCAAATTTAGTTGTCCTCCACTGCTGGTGATGCTATGCTCTTCCAAGGGGCCACGTGAAAGACAGATTATTTCATATACGGTTGGTTGTCATATCCTTACTGTCAACCAGTGTCATCTCGTTTCATTTTGCGCTCAGTTTACTGGCGAATGAATATATGCTGCTCCGTTTGGCAATACATTCCTCCAATGAATACATGTTCCGTGATTTCAGGGTGTACTGTTCGTGCGATAATCGCCACGTGTGAAAATAATATGGTGCTGCCGTTCGAGGCACCCCCTCTTTGATGTGTCTGGAGTCGCCGTTAATCAGACTCGCTGCAACATACGCACCCCAATGCGACCGTATGACAACATGTGTCCGTATGTGTGCGTATATATTATTTGCACCGACCGCGCTAACCGGCTGACCAATGAAAAGACGCCAGTCTATGTAGTAAGGTTGAAAACCCAAAAACACTTATATCTGCCATGAACTGGCACCCCGTTAGAAGGCACCATGAGGGAGGCTATACTATCCTCCGGATCAAAGACAGAAACGGTAGTAACAGAAGAAAACTGCACGCGTCTACCAAAAGGCGTTACCTTGCACTCTAGTTCGTTGTGGAGAGCTATCACAGTATGTGTGTGTGAATGTGACTCACAGCTTCATCCATTCATCGTAATCAAACACCCCCGCGTTTCTCCTGGATGTCTTCGGCCAAATACAGTAGTACCTCAAATCATTTTACCCTTCCCCCCAACAGTCCACCGCGGTTTTGAACTCGTCTTGATTTTCTGTTATTCTGCAAACCTTGCAGCTGTGGCCAGAGTAACTCGTGCTCTTGCACCGGAGGTTGCTACCGATGAACCAAGAATAATCGGCCCGCCTGACGACAAGAAGGACAACACGCCGTCGGCACTGCCCTCACGCGAGATATTAGGGGGTTGAGCCGGAGGTTTCGTAACTTGGCGTTGTGCAGCAGTGTAGCTGCTCTTATGAGAAACGTATTGTTGTATGAACGTTGTTCCTTGGCGGCACTATTCGACAAAGTTTGGTTCCGTGATGGGACGTGTATCGCGCGAACCGATGTGGTCGAGCCACATCAAATAGAATGGCGTCATCAACAGTCTGCAGGCGCGGGGGGCGCTCTGTCGAGTACAAAGGCGGGCGGGCAATAAAGAGTTTGCACTCAACTGGGATGATATGAATGAACGCGATGGTTTCTGCATGCTGAGTGCAAGCAGAAGAAGCCGCGCGTGGAACGCCACGTGAGCAGAAAATAGAGACGGATATATTCCGTTTCTGGAACAGAGTAAGATCTACCGGACACGGGTGGACGCGTATGGACTGCGCGTCCTAATTACACCCGGACAATATCCTCGAGGGCGGAAGTCGTGGCCGGGCATTCATGCCATCTCGAGTATGTAGGAGGTACTGTCGTGCTGCTGTGTCGATGTCCATTGGAGAATGTTGCCGTTTCCGGCAGTACAACAAGACGGGTAGCATCTCCAATATGCTGCGCTTATTTTTCGCGCTTGGCTGTCACACTCGGGATACAATGTTTCCGAAGAAAAAATGTACTTCGTGATAAAACCCACCAACGCTTTGATGCGGTTGTCCGCGCAGCTCTGACGCGACGAACGAAGTGTCCGGCGATTAAACAAGAGCAAGGCCCTGCAGGCCGGTGCGAACAGCAGGGTGGGTCCTGACGTACTACATGACACTGCGACACCTTCACTTTGTTTCGACCTGAACGAGTCAGCTGCTTTCAGTCGTTGCAGTTCAAACCCATTAAACCACGTGTAAACCTCACAACAACAAAGGCGTGTGCGGCGGAGTTTAGGCCTGGCCCTCTGTGGGGAGAGCCTCGGCAACTTCGTGCAGCCGTAGTCCACACGACACGTGCATCGCCAGGCAACGTTGTCGAGTGATTCAACTTGAGGTTTCGCATAATAATTCGTTGTTAACGCACAGACAAGCGAGTGAACGTCCCATTCAAGAAGGAATCGGGTTAGACTCTGTATTCCACGAGCAATCTACTTGCGAAAACGATCAGCCTACGCCCGCTGGAGAGCGGACATCCGCTCCCCACCCATCGATACAATCGAGAAAACGACAAATACACGCACCAATTCCGACAATACACGTGTACATTCGAACAACTCCACAATTCGAGTCATCGACACCGCGTCTCCTCCGTCACAAGCAAAAATACATATAGAAAAAATATTGAAATTTTATCGGCCTCGACTGTGCAGCGCAAACAAAATTTGGCTCAAACCCGCTCAAACATAACGTACAGAGCTCGATCTGGTCATGACAATCTGATAGGCAGCCAGTTGCCGATCCACTGACACTATCCCCTCAACTCACCCTCGAACGACTGTCACGACAGTGATTCATACCTAATCCTAATCGGAAGCTATACACTACCGCACCGAGAGCCCCAAGAATCAATCAACCGATCGATATCAGCTCCACCTTCCATATACCTAACAAAACGCTGTACTCGGGCATAACATAACGCTGTACGCGAGGCAACATTTGAGTCCTGTATGGAGAGCTTCGGGATTCAATCTCTCGAGACCGCATCATGACTCCATCGAGACCGATCAGGTCCACATGTCCTCCTCCTTGTCGATCACCTCGAAGCCGTTCAGCGAGAACGACGACGAGGACGTCGACGGCGACGACAGCGTCGCCCCCGTACTACCCGACACCTCCCGACCACCGGCCCCGCCTTCTCCTCCGTCCCTCGTCCGGACAGCACGACTACCTCCGCCCATGGTGGCCCCGCGGAATCCTGCGGCGACAACCCCTTCCTCCTCGGGGGGGTCGACGACGGAGTCGCCGCCGAGGCGGCGGAAGGGGCGAGGCACGCAGGCCGCCGTCCTCCCCAAGCCGTGTCCGCTCCCGCGGCGGCCGGCTGGAGGAGATACACCTTCGGAGGGCTCCTCTCCCCGCCGTCCGCCCCCAGCGGCCGCCGCCGTCGCCGCCGGATACCCCGCCGGCGGTGCGGTTGTAGGCGGCGCACCAGCCCGGCGGGCAGCAAAGGCAGCGCTGTAGCTGGCGGTGGTAGCAGTGCCAACGATCGCGGGGGAGCCGAACGACGGAGGAGGAGGTGCGAACGGGACGCTTCGCGAAGCGGAGCGCCGCCGCTGCTGCTGCTGCTGCTGCAGCAATCCGGTAGACCTGCTACCGGCGGTGCTGCTGCTGCTGCTGTTGTTGTTCGAGGAAGCGGAGACTGGAGGGTAAGGCTGCTGTGATCCTGGTGATGGTGCACCAAATCTCCTTGGCGCAGTCTCAACTGTTCCTTCTACTCCCACGAAGGTCTCCGCGGGAAAATCATGGTTCCCCGTTTCGGGATAGCGGGCCTTTCTCCGGTCCTCGGGGGCATAGCCGCCGCTGTCTTGGCCTCGAGAACCGTCAGCGGCGAAGGAAGCAGCGGCAGTGGTGGCGTCGGCCGCGGCGGCGAAACCACCGAAAGCTGCCGGTGGGGACAGCACCTCACTGCCGCCGTGGTGGTGAGGCTGACGAGACGGAAGCCCGAAGTTGCCATCGATGCCGACACCGCCGACACCGTCTTCAAGCCGCTGCTGCTGCTGCTTGTCCTCTAGTTGCCCCGCGGCAGAAACGGTAGGAGGCGTTACGGTCGTCTCCGAAGGCCTCAACCCCATCCACCTCCACGCGAAACCGGAGGGGGGCGCCCCATCGCCGTCCGCGGCGGCGGCGGCGGAGTCGGGGGCACTCAAGCTGTTGCTGTTTTTGCTTCTACGTCCGCCGCCGCCGCCGCCGTTGCCGTCCAACCCGCGCCTCCGGTCGCCAAGCTTGGTCCCCAGCAGCGGGACGAAAAGACCCGGCTTACCTCCTCCTCCTCCTCCTCCTCCTCCTCCTCCGGCCGCAGTCATCCCAACCGCGGGGCGACGGCTGGGGGGCGACGCCGAATAATCCTCCGCCCTACCGCCGTCGCCGCCCGCCGGGCCCGAGTACGAGGAGGAGCAGGAGGAAGAAGAAAGCGGAGCCGCCGCTGCCGGTGACGCGTCGTTGTCGCGGCGAAGGAGCCGGGGGAGCCTGCGGCGGTGGGGGGGAGGGGACGGGGGCACGAAGGAGATGGCTTCCTGCCCCCCGGCGGCGGCGGCGGTTGCGTCGCCCCCGGCCTCGCCACCGTCGTCGGCATCGCACGGGAGGCCTTCGGCGTTGTCCCCCGAGTTCAGGAGGGAGGACGTCGCCCTGCGAGAACAAACGGTTTCCGATCGGTGGGGCGGCTGTCTGGTCCAACCACCTTTTCTGCGGTGTGTTTGATATGCACCAGTAACAGTAGCACCACAACGAGGCTACATGGCTGTGTGGTCAACTACCTTTTCTGCGGTGTGTTTGAAATGTATCCGCACAATCGGGCTACATCGACACCACTGGGCACCTTGCCCCAAGAACGCGCGAGTCGCCTCGAGTGCAGACGCAAACAACGGCGTAATGAAATAAATCGAGGTAGGTGGCATGGCATCGGATCGTCACATATCACCGTTTATCGTTCCCTCACAAAACTTGCAGCAAGCACCCTGGGTCTAACTCACGCCCTACACACCGCTCCATGCGAGGAGGAGGACATCAGCCTTCCTCAGTCGGGACGCATTCATTCCTACACGACCACACAGCAAAAAATCACACCTCGTCAGCACCACTCTATCCAACAACCATGTGCGAAGAAACCAAGAAAATTTTGAAGAACCACATCACAAGGTTCAGGCAAGACAGTCTTCTCTCCTCACCTTCCCCGGACGTAGGCCCGGTAGAAATGAGCTGAGACGGCGAGCGTGGCGAGAGACATCCCCACGATGCGAGGGCCAGCGGCGGAGCCTCTGAGGGCAAGCAGCAGCACGAACACCAGAGCAGCGCGCACGTACCCACTGCAAAGGGAGCGACAGCGACAGGTTGTGTCGGATGGAAATGGGGCGGCGGCGGAGAAATCCGGGCAGTAGACCATCGTGTGGTGAACAGCGAGGGCACAAAGCGGCATAAACAAATACGCGTAGTGGGGGGGCGGGGGGGTACTGTTGATGTAGACGCATGCCGAAGTCGTTAGACCATTTAAGTAGTGGGGTCATTGGGACAGTAGACCATTGTGTGGGGAAAACAGCGAGGACACAAAGCCGCAAAACAAAGTATGCGTCGTGGTGGCGGCGGGGGCACTAGGAGAGTAGAAAAATCGCGAGCAGAAAATCTTTGGCACACAGCAGCAACAAAAATGCGTTCAAGGGTTAAAACTCCCACGAACGGTGCACGATGCGTCCCACCGGCCCGCTGAATAGAACAACAAACAGACGCAGGCGATGGAAGCACCCACTGCTGCGCGGGGGAGATGCACATGTATACTTGCACACACAGGTGTTCTATGGGCTGGGGCGTACACTGCAACAAGGGGGGCTGGACTGATGGCCGGCATCCAACGTTGCCTACATTGAGAAACAAAGGAAGACGCTCCTCGACAAAAATATTGCCAAAAAAAAAGACCCGGCACAGAATCGGCTGAACATCTGGAGACGGGCGTGGATAAACTGTACTCTTGCGGAATGTTCCCCGCACCTAAAACGGCCTGCACAGAGACAGGCAGGCGGGCAGGCAGGCAGGCAGGCAGGCAGGCAACACCAAACACACCACATCTCTCACGATGACACCTACACCATCAGCGTCCGCGTGGAGACGACGACCCGAGGTTGCCGTCGTCTCTCTGGACAATCAAGTTTGCCCCCCGCTCACCGCTCAAGACTTCAACACACCCTTCCCTTCCACCGCCGTGGCACAATCTCTGACGGGCAAACAGCCTGTCTGTGATCATATATTCGTATGTTCAACGAGTAAAGACCGCACCTAGAGATCGCGAACATGGTGGCCGAGAGCCTCGACAGCAGAGCGAACAGCACCAGCAGGTGCCCGTACAGGAACACCCCGTTCGCCAGCAGCAGGCACGCCAGCCTCGCCCTCTCCCTCCCCTCCCCCCAGTCGCCCGCTTCCCCGACCCCTATCCCGGCCCCCTCGCCGGACACGACGGGCCCCCCAGGCTGCTGCTGGTCTATCTCCATGACTCCCACCCCCCAAAGGTGAGGCAGCAGGCGAGGAGAAAGGCCGGCGGCGGCACGAGGCACTTCCACTACTAACAAAATTAAGCACTGAGAGGGAGGGGGGGGGGGCACCGCGGGGAGGGGTGTAGTGGACGGCGAGATCATAAATTGTGGTTTTTCGTACCATGTATGCTGGTGCCTGTCTACAGTTCTCGGTGTACAATTGACGTATCGGCAGGGGTGGGTCACGACCGACTGGAGGAAGGTTTCTCAGAGACGTGTCTTCGTTTCGTGCCACCGTCATCGCAGACGACAAAGAGCCTCCAAACCAAGCGCCATTGCACAGTTCGCCCTGGTGGGGCAACGCACCAGCAAGCGAGAAAAGAGGGCAAACACTTCCACAGATAACGGGTCCACCTCCTTGCTAGAGAGGGGTTTCCATTCGACCCGAGAGAGGGGGGGGGTCCCGCGCTTTGAACGCCGCCTCTCACCTGGAGACCCGCGGTCATCTTAGCACCGGAAAAGAGCGCCGATATCTCATCTAGGCCGTAGTCATCGAGCGCCATCTGAGAGCACCCCGAAACGTCACCCCAACCGCAATGAATGAGCGGGAACACAAACGAGAGGCCGAAACGCGGAGCGAAGAGGGGGGGGGGGGAGCGCGAGAAACAAGCACGGGTGGGGCGACGCGGGGAACCAATCTTCCATAAAGCTCACGCACATCAAAACCTATGTACTGATAGCCGATGTTGCTTTACTCCACGGGCGAAATAAGAACACAGCAAGAGAAGTTAACTTTCTTAGTTGGTGGTGAATCCTGTCGAAGAATCTAAATATCGCGCCGTATGTAACAGAAGAAAAGAGGGTACCTTAGCCGCGATGGCGCGAACGGCGAGAAGCATGTTGGCCGCCAGGCTCGCGCGGAGCCCCCCCCACCCGGCCCTAAGGTCCCCCGCTGTCGGGGTGGCCGCTAGCGCGAGGCCAAGGGCTAGCAGCAGGGTGGGCACCGATGCCAATCCCGGCCGCTGCATGCCCACGTTCAGGCTGCGAAAGGTGTAAGGGAGGGGAATGAAGAGGGCAAGAGAGGAAAATAAGAAATAAGAAAGAGGGAGAGAGACAAAAGGAGAGAGACAAAAGGAGGGGAGGCGGGGGGGCATTAACCTCGAAATACTCCCGACGCCGGAATGGCGCAAGGCTTTGAAGCCGAAATCAAATCATGAGACTAGCCAACGGACGTTTTGCCTCGAACCACTCCATTACTGCAGGGCACGAATCACTCCATTACTGCAGGGCAAGGATCAAGTCGGGCTTCGCATGAGGCCAGCTAAGGGAAGCGCAGGCGGGCGGCGGGTTGAGGACATCTTCGGGAGATGGTTTCGGCTGTTCGTGGTGGCGAGGGAGTTCCCAGACATGAGAGGGCGTGGAAAAGAGACTGTTGCTGCGTACACCCGCTGTTTCGGCCGCGTTGTGCATACTGCGTAGCCACTTCGAGATGTTGCGCTTTTGTGAGGGTGGGATGCTGTCAACTGACGAGGGCATAGAGCAGAGAGCACTGTCCATTCCTAACTAGATTGTTTTTTTATGACTGTCGGGCTAAAACACTCGCCGCGGTGGCAAAGCAGACGCGCGCGTGAGCTAAAGTGGTGTGGGGGAAGATAAAAATCAGGAACTGTTGGACCATCCACCATTTCCTCTGGCTACTCCCGCACCGCAGGTTTGCTCGGCTGGCTTGGCGACGCCGTGCGACTGGCCGTCTTGCTGCTCTAACCCTTACCCTAGCTCTTAGCTACTGGTACTACTGTAACTACGTAGAGACAGTGGCATCGCCTACCCTGGTGGTGATTACCGCCATGCCTATCGCATACGCCGCACGGCACTACTGAGTCACGACCACAGCCGTGCCGCACCGGTAACCGCCACAAGACAGCGAACGGCAACATCTACTCGCACGGCAGCCAGGCCCTCTCCCCGTCTACAAGCAGTCTGCGCTGTCTATTGGTTGCGGTGGTTTATTGCCGTCCATCCTCGATTGCCCCGGCTCCTCCCACAACTCAAGCGGCTCCGCCACCGAACCCACCTCAAGAGGCAGAAAAACGCCGCTTCCGTGGAGCGCAGAACTTCCGCCGCGGCCGCACCGATGACACCGTAGCCGTGGTACTCCAGCCCGGTCCCCGCCAGATGCGCCGCCGCGAACACCAACAGGAACTTATTCCGCCGCGTCTGCCGAAACCGTGAGAACAGAGAGAGAGAGAGAGAGAGGGCACAAACAACGATGTAGGAGCACCGCAATCAGGCTGTTGTTGCGGCTGGAAGGAAGGGGGGGCACTCGGGCCAGCGGAGAGGAGAAGGGGGTGCGGTGTATCGACCAACATATGGTGCCGAGGACGGACAGGCAGGGCGCCATGATGTGTCTCGGGCGTAGGCAACGGGACAAAAATGGCAAACCACGGAGTTTCCCCGGGTTATCGATGGGCCTCGAGGGGGCTGACAACGCACACGAAACAAGCGAAGGGGCGGAAGCAGATCAAACGTGCAGATGGCTATTCTACAAAGTAACGGCGGTCATGTGCGTGTCTTGATGCACCTACCAGGCTTGGGGAGGGGAGGCCGGGAGTACTCCACGAAAACCACTGCTACAAGACAAACAAAGGACAACAATGACAGCAGCAACCGCAGAACAACAACAACAACAACAACAACAACAACAACAACAACAACAACAACAACAACAACAACAACAACCGCAGCAACAACAATTAACTCACCCGCTCCGCGTCGCTCAGCGCTCTGACTTCCGGCCTCCTAAAACGCCTCCAGAACCTGGACATCAAAAACCCAACCCCGAGAGCCGCCAGGGTTTGCCACGCGCTCACGGTCACCACAGAGACTCCCTTACCCCACCCGGCCACCGCGGCTCCTCCGTCGCCCCCCTCCCCTCCATTGGCGCCGCCCCCCCACGACACCGCCGGGGGCACGCGCTCGTAGTACTCGACCTTGGAGCCAATGCCGCCGTCTGAAAGATGGTCGTCTTCGTCTTCGAGCAGGGCGGTGTTGTCGGCGGCGGCGGCGCCAGCGGCGCCGCCCGTGGTGCCTATCTCGGCGGGGACGTCGCGTCCGGACGTTCCGATCAAGCTCCCTCCTCTCGCCGAAGCGCTGGAGGGGTGGCGACGGGGGACTGACAGTCTCGTCCGCTGTCCCGCCAGAGCCTCCACTGAGGCGTTGTAGAGGGCGTACGTTAGCAGGGAAGCGAGGATCAGGGTCGCGATCGTGCCGGCGCTTGCGCTACCCCTCCCGTTGCCGCCGCCGCCGCCGCCGCCGCTTGACTGTTGTTGTTGCTGCTGTGGTTGTTGTTGCTGTTGGCGGTAAGTTTCGAACTGCTGCGTTGCTGGTGGTGGTGGTGGTAGTGGTCCTCCGTATCCGCCTCGTCCTTGTCTCCGACGGCCCCCCGCCTGAGGCTGCTGCGACGGCGGCTGCTGACCAGGGGCAAGGGAAAGCTGCCGGCCCTCAGCCAGGTGGAGCTCGGTCGACGAGGGGGGAGGGGCGTGCGCTGGGGCGGCCGCCGTTACCGCCAATGCCGTCGCGTTCGGCGGCGGCAGCGAGTAGGACGCGGGTTTCACCACCCAGGCGGCGTTCGTTGCTAACGGCCGTGCCGCCGTCGCGGGAAGGTGATGGCCACCGCCGCTGACCCCTGCTGTAGCCGGGTAGTAAAATTGATGCGGCTGCTGCTCCGCCCCTGTTCTTGACGAGTGCGCGCCCACGGCCTCCGCAGGAGGGGGATCAAGGTGCTGCCGGTCTGCCGCCGCGGTGTTGGTGGATCTCCAGCTGCTGCTACCGGAACCCCCGCTGGTCGCGCCGCCGGCCTGGTTTGGCGGCCGCTTCCGCCAGCGGTTGGTGGACGAGCTCAGCATCATGTCCGCCTCATGCTGCATGACGGCGCCCTATTGCTACTGTTTTCCGCGTGGTGGTATATGTTGGATAGCCTGGACACGGAGTTCCGGAGGGAAGGCGTGATTATAAGGTCGGACAAAAAGCCGCACGCGAAGATTGAAAAAACATGTTAGGAAACATAAATACAAACACAGAAAGACTACCCATTCGAGATAAAAGACCACAGTTGAACGGTATGTGTTGAAGTCTTTACAGTGAATGGAGGGAAACCGTATCTTTCGCGCGAACCCAAGTCTAGTACATTGTATAGCTCGCGGCTCCAAACTGTAGGGACGATAGAAAAGACATATTTTTCGAGCGAACCCAAGTCTAGTATGTCTTGTCGCGGCTCCAAACTGTAGGGGACCAATATTTTGCAAGCTAGCGTTACACGTTATTGGTGAGAGGTAGGCTCGTGGGCTTGCTACGGGCCCTTGACATGTTCACGCCATCAGATGCATGATACTTCGGCTAGGACAGCTCGCCCGGACGGTTATTTATTTATTTATTTTTTTCTTAATATGACACAACGAATCCATCTCTATCATAGAAAAGAGCCTGAGACAGATTAGCAATGAATTCATAGCGTCAGAAAGTACCTGTATGTCTACGGTTTCCCAGACAGCATATAGGGACATCTCCCCTACGGATAACAGGCTCTTTTGTATTTTTTAATTTTCGGCGCTGATGTTTCCGACCCCCTGCTATTGCAATTCACCAGAAAGAGTTGCGGTGTCGAAAATGGAGGAGTTGGAACCATATGGTCGAGATCTCTCTGAAAAACAAACATTTGAGGTTGGCATCTCTTCTTGGGAGTATTCGAGCGTCGACAATCGGTCTACAGGGGGGGTGGTATCTTGTGTCACCTACGAGATAAGCCTTTCGGCGTTGAATGCTATTGTAGTTACATTATTACTGCCGCACTTCCAAGGAAACTCGAACCCTCAATTTCTTACCAACTATTTTGTAAGCGGTGGCAATCTGTACAATGGCGAGAGGCACCGGGAAGAAATAATTCCTCCTTGCGGAGGGAAGCCTCGGAACAAGCTGCTGGTGCTGCGTGCCATCATCCCCTTGCCGTTCGTTGGGATTGTCGAATGATACAAGTTGTACATGTAGTACACGGTAACCTTGATCATCAGCTACGCTCCTCCGTTCACAGCAAAGGCCTGCGGCAGCTCTCCACGAGCAGCATTTCAAGAGACCGACCCACTGCCTACTGCTGTACTAGCTATGCACTTCGTGACGGAAACCACCACGCCCAGCTGGCTCTCTGTGCTTGTCTGGTTGTAGGTTGTAGAGTTGAAGTACAACCGCCATGGAGCTCCAGCGCGAAACTCGTTTGGTTGGAGAGATTCGGTCACAGCTTAGAGACATTAACGACAGATCGGGTACTTCGATACACCGGCGTCCATGACGTAACGAGGCAAGAGCGAATTGGGAGCAACGGGAGCGGCGGAGTGGGAGAAGCGTATCGTCATCCCGATTATCCCCTACACCAACGTACATACACAGCAGTTTTCTCTCTGAATCTCCGCTTGGGCGGCGGGGTGCAAATCTCCGCTTTTTCGGTGAGCCGACTAGGCCTCTCACCTCTCGACGACCGCTTCTCCAACGCGTTCCCGAAGGGTTGGTGAGCCTTGGCCGCTCGCCACCCTGAGACAGGGGCAGCAGGAGAAACACACCAAGGTCTGTCCCCAAACACAATACCCAACACCTGCCCGACAGCTTGCCCGTTTTAGTAGTGTGGTGGTCTGCAACCTCGCAAGGCACGACTCTCAAGAAAAAAAAAAACGCTGTGACTTTCTCTGTCCGCGTAGCCCCCAAGTTCGGTGCATTGCACGAAACCGTCGCGGGCTGTTCGTCGACGTTGACTGCTGTTGTTTGGAGCTGAGAGAATTATATCTGCGAGGGGTGCACCATGCGCCGGCATCCTCAAACTACTCATTCGTATACAGGCGCTGCTGCTGCATCCTGGCCATGAGCAGATGAGAAACTCGTGAAGGGATTTCGTGGTGAGGCATCTCGTCATGATGATGTTCTTGAGAGAAAATTAGCGGCTGACAGAGGATGGATATATATTTCACCTCGACGCTATTGAACACCCTAATCAACCTTTTACGAGGGAGAAATAATGTCAAGTACAGCGATTGGTGTGGGGTCGGGGTAAAACGGAAGGCACACGCACTCCTTTTGTAGATTGAATGAAGATCACATCCACTATCCTCCGAACGATTGTATCTTCAATTTACGCGTACAGAGCGGCGGAACACAGACCTACCGTCCGTATACAAAATCTGCTTACAGTGTAGGGTTCAATGATGCAATAGCCGGGAGGCGGCAGGAGCGTGTTTACTGAAAGCAGCAATACTGCTGTAGTCGATTTCCTCGCGAGGTGGCAAAGCAGAGATAAACGCGACCTGGACTAACCTCCCGCCTCGAACTTGGGTGTATCCTTCAAGTCACGCCTCACGATCGACACCTACAGTAGACTACTACACATACATCTACCTGTTCAACCAAGATCCTCCACCACGATGAGTGAGGAATCCGAGACGACGGCTGGTGGTGATGGCGTGATTGAGGAGCAACGACGAGAAGGTGCATTGGTGGAAGCTACAGATCTACATCGCCCGGCTCTGACTCAAGCAGAGTCATTGGCACGCCCACCGAACCTGCCACCACCAGCGCCCCTAGGAAGGTAACGCATGAGATCCACCACCTTTCGACTTCGAGACCCTCGGATTGGCTGTGGACTTGATGCGAGAAATATATTCCCGACCACACTGAACCACATCTTGCCACAGCTGCAGTATATCAAACATGTGTAGGCAGCGTAATCTACGCTACTGTAGACGATGATCATACGGTTGGAGAGGCACCACACGCAAAGCGATTGCTACAGTATTTCTATGACCCACGAGCAGAAGCGATGTCTGTTGCACCACAGTGTGCCGAAGCTGTTGTAGCTTCTACAGCAGTCCTGGAAAACCCTCGATTCGTAGAGAACAATCCGTCGCGCAAGGGTTGCCGAAATCTTGTCATGACTGGTCTGCAACACGGGCGAGTACATCCTGTCGTGCCACGCGACGAGTATCCTGTTCCACGCAAGCAACCAGAGGAACACACAGAAGAAGTGTTAAAACTTGAGATTCGAGGAAACAGGCGCACGGCTCATCACTGAAGCAGTCCGCTTGGACAACCCTTCGCCGTACTATAGGTCCACCAGGGGTTCTGTTGCGGCGGTCGTCCCGAACACCAGCTGCGGCCTAACGTCGGAGGCCGATCCCGGTAAGGCCGCCTACGCCGTACTCGAGCGACGCTTGCAGAAGGCCATCACCGCCAATACCAAGTGGCAGCAAAAGTATGAAATCGAGACTAAGGTAAGTCCGACGGAGCGTTGTTCACCATACCTCTGAACTACCGCGGACGCTCGCTAATAAGCTTGATATATTGATGTACATCTACCACGCACTCTTCGTTCCTCGGGGGTTCAGCGCCTCCAGCGCTTACATGGCCAGTCATTGCACTCTTCCCCATCCCCCAGTGCGTCCTTTGTTTTAGGTACATAGTACCGTCCTTCCCCGGTATGCTTCTCAATGCATGTTTTACACAAATAATAGGGTCACCGGTCTTCGACAGCTCGACATCGAATGAAAAAGCCTCGTCATCACGCAGGCGTTTTATTGCCGAGAAAAACGTCGTGACGCACAATGTGCCAGCGTGGTGGTCCTGCTGCCGGGAGGTGCCATTCCGGCCGAGTTCAGCGTCGCCTGTGACCAATCAGCTCACGCACAGCGAAGCATTCACAAACACTCCCCCACTTATCATATATGTCGCGTGGTGTTTGCTCTCTGCCCCTCTCTCTCTTTCTCTCTCCCTAGAGGGTAGGCCACGGTCCCAAGGATGATGTAGTCGTGTTGTCACTGTATCACGAGCGTGCGCCCCCCACTACCACCGCTTCCTAGAGACAGCGCAGGAGCCTTCTACAGACATGGAAGACGTTGGCAGAGATTACGCACTGCACATAGCTTAAGAGCGTTACACTCCTACCTACTGTCGAGAGGTAGAAAGGCGGACAATGTACATAAGAGGTACCGTCTGAGGTCCAGCTTCGAATCGATGACCCCTACTTCCGAACAGGCCAATGAGGAGCTCGGGAGGCGAGTGAGGTCATGGAAAGCAGCATATTCACGGGAGGTTAACAGCAGAGAGCTGCTGGAAAAGGAGCTGTCGAACACCCGCCAGGTATGAATGATCGGAGAGGTGTAGATCACCCTGGTTGTAGAACTAAACACACCTAGCCGCCCTGGTCTAAGCCCTGCAAGTCCGCTATGCGTCCTTCATGGCGTTTATGTACGCCTTGTTACCCGCGTGCGTATAATTGTTTACGTAACACGGCGGGTTGGCTCATGGAAGCGTTAGGAAAAAGGCCCAGCGACGGCCATTGCCAATATTTCATCCCTAAGTGGTGGAAAACAACTAGGCCAGGAATATGTCGAGTGATTGAAGCCGATACCAGAAGAGCTGTTTCTACGGTGTTCACTGAATACTAAGTGGTATGGATTATGTTGTTTCCGCCCTTCACACTGCAGGTGTCAGAATCTCAAGCGGAGACCTACCGCAAAGAAATTCGTCGACTGGCGGCCCTTCTTCTGTGTGGCCCGAGCGCCTCTGCTTCTGCCGTTCTGGTGAACGCTAGTAACAGCAGCGGTCGGGCTGCGGAGAGTGATGCTCACGCGGTTTCTCCGGGGAGTGGAAGGTATTCTACACCACCGGGAAGAGGAAAACGGCCGTCCGGTGGATCACTCTCCGCCGAGGAAGACGCACCTACTCGACCGCTGCACCACCACCTACGCCACAACTCTGTCGGCTCGACCAAGCCGTCGTCACGAAACGGGGCTACTGCTACTCGTGGCAGTACGCCAAGAACCCGCATGGGTTGGTCGACGACACCGGGCGACGGGGGTCTGTTTTGGCGACAGAAGCCGCTTGACATCGACCTCACAACGCCGGGACAGAATCGAGAACCCTCCGCTGCGACACAAGAACAAAAAGAAGTTTGTGAAGAAGACGAAGAACCGGCGGAGTTGAACTCGTGCCCGGACAGGGGTGGCGACTTGACCGGTCCAGGCGCGGCACGTTCGGCAGAGGAGGACGGGATGCCGGAGTGGTCGCACACAAGCCTCTCTGTCTCCAGACAACCCGCACGTTCCGGGAGGGGCCAGACAAAGCGAGCCCCCGGGTGGGGGCCTTCTGCCGGGCGGTACTCCAAAGTTGGAGGGGTGAGCAGGCTCCGGCTTGCACTGCAAGGAGGCAAGTCTTCGATCTTTGCCCACGGGGCGTCGACGAGACCGCTCGTTTTGGCGAGAGAGTCCCCGGGAGGTGGGTGGCACGACGGCCGCGAGCTCGAAACGGTCCCCGAAGGATCGGGGGCAACCGAGATGGCGCCAGACGCAACAAAGGAAGAAATGTCGGATTTCCTCGGCGACAATGAATGCGGAGAAGAAACATCCCCAGACGGGGCAGCGGGAGGGCCGAGAGCGGAGTCGGCCTACGGCGATGACCGCGGCAACGCTGCAGGTGATGACGGAGAGTCTGACGGGGAAAGATCGGCGGGTAGCATGGAGATGCAAGGGCAAAATGATGGAGACCACCCATTCGGGAGACTAGGGCCGCCGATATTAGAGGAAGAATCGAAAGAAAGAGGTGGGTTCGCGGGCGACCTCACCTACACCGACCACTCGGAAGCGACGAGGCTATCCCCCCTCCCTCCAGCACGAGGCCCGGGGGTACACGATGCTAACGGAGTGCCTCCTAATAAGCCGGAGAAAGATGGCGGCCGTGGCGGGAAATGGGAGAAAGATGACGGCAAACCATCCCCGCTGATCGTTGGAAACTCCTCAACGTCACCATCATCATCGGTCACCCGCAGCGTCAGTGAGGGGGTCGCCAGCAGATACCAACGCCGAACCGAGTTCGCCTTGCCGCCCCCTCCAGTGTCTTCCGCTGCTAATGAAGGCGTTTCTCGTGGCGGAGCGACCGACCACCGGTTATCGTCGTCTCCGCTACCCCCGCGGTCTCCGCGAATCTACCACCCGAGCCCCAAGTCCGAGGGTAGCGATGATGACGACCCCGCCGGCGTGTCAATAAAGTCCCCTTCTTCCGTGTCGGACGTGGGGTCATCTGATGAATCGGGGTTCGAGTCATCTTCCGCGTCCGGCCGACCTCTACCTGGTGAAAATGGGACAAGTGCAAGATCTCGTACGGTTGTCTTGGTCAAGGGGAAGGGGGCCGGGGGAAGGGTAAGCAGCAGGCGGGGCGGCAACGCCGCCATGCGCAGCAGGAACAGGGCGGCGCTTGAACGACGTGCTGCCAGTTGCGGTGGCGGTGGTCGCCACGAGATATGCGCCATCCTGGGCGGCGGAAACGACGGGGCCGGGTTCAGCGACGGCGGCGTCGTGGTCGGGCATAACCAGGGCCTAACGGCCAAGGCAGCAAGACACGATGAATCTCGTCATCCCAGCAGCAGCAATATCGGCAGCAATAGGCACACCCTCGACTCAGACGGTGAGGTCCAAGAGGTTTGCCCTTTGTCGAGGAAGCAAGCTCTCCAAGGAGGACGAGGAGGGCTACAAGTTGGAGAGGGATTGCACTGCGGCGGAACAAGCACCAGCGGTGGCGGCATTGGGCTGGGTCTTGTCCTGGGCCCCACGTCGGACACCAGCATTTCGGACCTCTCTGACGGAGGGTTCGACAGCAGCAGCAGCTTAGATTGGAACACCAAAGACCATGGGTTCAGCACCGTTGAGCCTCCGTTCTGCCAAACTGGTGCGGCGACCTATGGTGCAATCGGCGTGGGTGCTCTACCTGATGCCAACGAACTACTCGGCACACCAACCGAAAGCCTTGATGGTACATCGGGTGACGGTATCGCTCCTCCTTCTGCTTCTGCAGAGGGCAACGGTATCGGTGGCGTGCTGGAAGAGGTGTCTCTTCTGGCACCGGAGCAACCGCAGCCACAGAAGCCGCGAATTATTGAGCTGTACCGCTCCAGTGTTGCTTCGTCGACCTCGGTGTCATCTGGTGGCCACCGCAGCAGCAGCAGCAGCAGCAGCAGCAGCAGCAGCAGCAGCAGCAGCAGCAGCAGCAGCAGCAGTAGCAGCTGCAGTAGCAGCAGCAGCTGCACACCATCAGGTCATGCTCGTGCAGATTTGAACAACGAGGGGGACGATGAGGAGTCGCTTGAGGTGTCGCTAGGGTCTTCCGACTACACGGCGGATCCCTTCACAGGCAACGTTTCCCTGGGCTCTTTAAATCTAAGGCAAGCAGTCCGTCGAGACGTTCGTAGGTAGGACAGGTGAAGTTGGTGCATCGGAGGGTTCCTTCCTTGGTTTGAGTCGAATACTGCAAGCTCACCATAGAATGACGGTTGTCATCATCGTATCTAAAGTGATGGTATGTCGCGTCCCGAGGCGTTTGCTGTGCTACCTGTTCTTGTCCTGCCCGAACGTTGCCGACTGCAACGATCATGAGATCGAACTTTATCTTCGTGTCCCAAGGTCCCAAGGCTTGGTTTCGACTCAAATTGTCTACACATGCCTCGGTACGCCCGCGACCCGGCGAGAATTCAGTCAGACAGCTAGGCGAACAATTCCGTCTACTCTGACCGAGCATCCAGCCTTAGAGTAGATGCATAACTTGCACAGCGATCATGTCCAGAGCCTCCGCGGATCTCAAAGGTAAACAGACACGGAAGAACTAGTTCGGACGAAGGCCTCCCCACCCGCTTGATACCTTCCTCCATGCCCCGCCTACGGCTTAACGCGTGCTCTCTTGCAGCGACTCCGGGTCGTCGGACACCGAGCATTCCTTCTCCGTGGAAAACGTCGGCAGCCTTCCGGCTGCGGGCACAGCTGCTGCTTCAACGTCAAGTGAGCAAGCTTCCGCGAAGGCAAAACGTACCGACAGCGTCGAGGAGAACGGCTCTGGCGATGGCCGCACGGACGGCGAAGTTGCTCAAGAGGGGATGAGGGAGGGGAAGGATGGAGAAGAAGGGCAGGAAGGCGAACAACCCTGTCTTTTCGAGAGCCTTATCTCGGTGAGTTGGGGATCCGTGGAATAAGCGCTTCGACACAATCCCCGCGGAACAGCAGTACAGAAAGCGCCGTTGCGGGCATGCAACCAAACCCACCTGTGGCCCATACCTCGCTTCTGACGCGCTGGTTGTACTGGGCCGTGGATCAGGGGGAAGAAATCAGCATCGAGTTCGAGTGAGAATCTCGCGTCGGCTTCGCGGCTGGAGGGAAGCTTTCCGCAATTAAAGATTGTGCGATAATGGTTGCGGGCGAAGCGTGATTTACAACATGAAGCACCGTGGGATTGCCTTTCAAAGCCGTTTGAAGAGAGATTTTCGCCTGTCCATCAACCCGCTCATCCGTCCACCCACCTTCGATAATTGAAATCAGGTCGGTATTCCAGCGCACTGGGACCTGAGGCCGTTGAGCAACCAGCCCACCGCCGCGGAAGCGAGCGGGCGTGACGTCACTCCCTCGGCAAACCGTCGAACCTGGGGAATATACGACAACGAGAGCGACGACACCAACAGAAGCAGCGGCGGCGGGAGTGGGGCAGGAAGCTGGATACGATCGGTGTTTTCTTCTTCTCCTTCTGGTGGCAGAAGAGCGGGAGAAAAGCCTCCAGCTCACGTTTCCCCAAGGCCTAGATCGATCGACCCCGGTCCTCGCCGTGGCAATCTTTCGGCGAAGTCGTCCTCGTCCGTGGAGGAAGAGAGAACGTTGTCGGGTCCTGCCGGTACCATCCCCGACGGAGACGATGATGCCAACTGCCTGCAGGATGTCACCGGTACCGCCAAGGAGGGAGGAACGACGCCAATACCCCACGGGAGTGTCGAGGGGCGATTGGCACCTCAGGTCTGTTTTGCGTGTACTTTAGTTCACGCTTGCCGGCTGACAATTGGGCAGAAGGGATTATTTGTAGAGGAAGAAACCTCAAGGGCGTTCAGTGCATGTCGTATCCACTCCGTAGAGAGAAAAGCTAGTTCACGATTCAACGATATTGGTAGGTATTTAGAGAAGGTCACTGGTGAGGCGAAGCGGAGGTTTGACCATAGTTTGTTGCGGTCATGGCTTAAGGCAAACCCATTCCTGGAGGGGGGGGTGCTTCAATGTTTTTCATGCCTTAGCGATTAGGCCATTGAACACGCGTCCTCATGAGGACATTGTTCCCACATGACCGATCACCGATGGTCAACCGTCCCTTCCTACTTTTGGGAGGGCTCATTCTGACTTCGTTCACTTTCGGGTGTCTACACACTGGCGGCCGAAAAACAAACAGGTTCTAGCCTGCTACCCTCCAGAGGCGACCCTTCCTTTCAACGTGTCGGACTACTGCTTCCCGCAAGGCGTTCAAGCGACAAGGATCGACGCACGGGCATCCCAGAGCAGCCTCAACAAGGTGCTCTATCAGCCGGGCGCCTGTCAGCGTGGGAGCCAGTCCTTCGTCTTCATGTTCTCAGGTGACAGTACTAAGAGGGTTCCTTGGGGCGGGACTGTCAACATTCGTAAAGGAAACACTCGTAAGAAGGAACCGGACGCTACTGGTTGATATCTCGTAAACAAGGAGTTTGTCTGGTCTGTGATGGCATTTGTTGGTGACTTCAACGCCGTGGTCACCGTGAAAATAGTGGGCGGAGAAGAAGAATAAAACACACGACGTTCTCACTCGAGGAGTACCGCTTCCTTCCTCAAAGGCAGCCACAGAAAAACCGTCCCGCTTTTCGTCCACCCGTCAAACTTAAACCCTTTCCACAGGGGACCACGGTTTCCGAGTCGCCGGGGAGGCCCGGAACCACAGGACGTACGGCGTGTGCGTCACCTACCCGAAGGTCATGCCTTCCCGCGAGGTTAGCCGCAATGGATCCGAATGCGGCAGGTCCCCACAGGGTGACGATGACGATGAGGAGGACAAGGATGGTACGGTATTGACGGTGGCGCCGTTAGCCGAAACGTCCGGTACGGCGCCTGGGACAGTGAAGAACGGGGGAGATGAGAACGGCAGAGGGGCACGGGGGCAGTCGCCGCCTCGCACCAGGGGGGGGAGGAGGGGGAGGCGCGGTGGTGGATACAAGGGAGGCGGCAGCAGCGGAGCAGACGTGCAGGTGACTGCTTGAATTTTGAACTTTCGTTCGCTGCCGTCGCTTGTTTAGTTAGTGGTACCGCCTGGAGACACCGACCGATAATAGCCAGGAGAGGTTTTGTCTGTCTATCCTTTCGTGACGAGTTCTACTCGTCAGCCACCCTGTTGGAATGTGCTGCCACAAGAACCTGTCCGAACAACGATTTAGTTCACCGTTGTTTTCGTTTGAACCTGTCTGTTCCGCGGGTATTACAGGTGTGGGGGTGCTACTGCTTGTTGAGCCGCCTGCCCCTCTTCGACCTCCACTTCCAAATTCTCTGGGACCTCCTTGCAGCAGAAAGGATCATGCGTATGAAGGTATGGGCACCCATATATCGCCCAGCTCCAACTGCAGGTGTTTCGCGGAGATATAGAAGCCCCCTGCAGCCCGACACCTTACGTCACTGCAAGACGCATGAGGCAGCTGTATCCAAGACAGGAAGAAAACACGAGCAACAGCTTTACCCCTGTCAACTGAAACCCACACCTGGACTATGGGGGCACCACGTTCCCCATACTTAGCTTGAAAAGCAGGAACGGGCGCTTCGCGAATATGCCGATAACCGTGGACAGTTTCGGATGCAATCTTAGACCTTCATCGCACGTCGCGTCCCCAAACCTCCCCCTTTCTTTCCCGCCGCGGAACAGTTGACCGCAGAGCGGCGGGGTGGCCTTACCGCCTCCGATGAGATAGCCGAGGCCGCGCTGTTATCTAATCGGGTGGAGGAGTTGCTGCTTGCTGTCTCGAGAAGGTAGGAGAGTGCGGGCGTTGCTCGAAACCCCAACCTCGTTGAAAAAAACTGCGAAGAGGGAGATGTCATGACTTCACACGCGCTGTGCCACAACACACGCGAGCGCCGGCCAAACACAAGCGGCACGCGTGTCCTACCGGGGGCGTAGCAACCTCAATCACGGCCTCTGTGTAAGGTGTCTGCCGAGCTTGTCCATACGAGCACGCGCAAAGCCGTGGAACACGTATATAGCTGGTTCTTGGTCGTTCCGAGGGCGAAGAAACCGCCGAGGATCACTCTTGCCGCCCTGAAATTTCACCCGTAATCCCACAACGATAGAATAGACAGGCAGTTTGGGCGCTGCTGAAGCTCACGAGTAGCGCCGGCACTAGCCCCATTACCATTACAAGAGAATCAGCGGTTAAAACTCATGTCTGGTACTCGTTCGTTTTGGTGAAAGGTATATGCGACAGGCTGTGCCGGCTCCTGGAGAAACGGTACGCTTCCAAGTCCACCCCGACCTACCGGAGATACACTACCAGCGAGGAGCCATGGCGGAGTTCCACGGGGGGCATCAGATCAAGAACTCCGGGTGAGACGTTAGTCTACAGCTCCCCGAGAGATGTTTCATACTTCGGAAAGCTTCTTCATACGAGGAAAACACAGAAGTTTCATAATTGATGTACAGGAGTCTACGATCGTTTCGTTCGGATCAATTGTTTGTGGTGGCTGCAGGAAGCCTAGCAGACCGCCAGACAAAGTTCGTCAAATAGCAGCTGGTTTTTGTTTGTATCGTACCACGTGTACCCACCTCGAAAAATACATGCCATTCAAGGCATCCCCAACGACCCTGTTCAGAACACCCCCCCCGCGCCCTCCCCACGAAACCCGCTTGTCGTTGTTTTTTTCTTAGGCCCAACAACAACAACGTGGGCTTTGCTAGCTACGACAGTTTCGCCAGCCTGAGGGGAGATTGCATTCCGCCGCACGTCAAGGACGGTCGCGAGATGATCGATGGCGTCGCGGCATGGGCGTTACCAGGCACGCTGTCCCTCATTCCCGTCGACATCCTTGTGGCGGTCGTGGGTGCTCTCATGTGCGAGTATCAGGTGCGCGCAAGTCTTTAGCCTCGAGATCGCGTGGGGCCAGCAGAATGATGGGTTCTACGTGTTGGTGAACCTGCGTGCGTGTTGGGAAGCGATGAAAAAGCTGCAAACAAAGGTATCTATGCACGAGGTGATATCCCGGAGCTTTGGAGACGCATCCACCACACACGGGCAGCATAAGTTCTAGGCCAATGTTCCTCTGCATCAATCACTTTCCGATGTCGGAAGATTTCGCCCTGCGTGCTTCTAGCGAAGTCGCTGTGTGAAATAATGAACGGTGCCTCCTCCGGATAGTTCTCGCCGTGGACTGCCGTGACCCTGTCGGGTGCTTCCAACAAATAAAACGTAAAGGTGATCGTCGTGAGCGAGAATTTGGGGCTCCTATCCTCGGCCGTTCTCGCCCTCGCCGCGCTGACCCGGCCCCTCCTGTGGGTGCACCCGCTGGTGCCGGTGATGCCGATTGACATGGCTGAGGTGCTTTCAGCCCCGGTGCCGTATCTAATTGGTGAGAGAGAATATAGGTCATTGGCATGAGTATCTTCAATGCGGAACGCTGTATTCTTTGTCTGGGTTTGATCGGCGAAGCAAACGGGGAAGATTTGTCACGCTGGTTGAAGCACTGTTCATGCGATTACGATTCTTTGAAAATATGCTCTTTGCCAAAAGAGCTTAGACGAACCAGAAGCACTCGTTCGGCCGTTCGTCGAAACCCCAGTTCTCCGGAGCACTAAGTCTGAAATGGCGGATCGGCCCAAACGGCATTTGGATATGTGCACGACAGGATAGAGTCTAGAGTGATGCCCAAATCGACACCAGCCTAATATTATCCTTATAGAACTCGAGGCAACGATCATCACAGACGAGAAATCTCGGCGTGATTCTTTACCACGAGCCTTGGCGGAATATACGAGCACGTTCGTTCTGAATCGAAGAACGTAGAACTGCCGAAAACACGTCAGCGCGCACTCTGTCCGTTTAAATTCGCAGGGACGCCTCGGCTGGTGGCAGGGGGGGGGGGCGGGGGACGCGTCCATGGACCGCTAAGTCCAGGACAGGTGGGTTATGGCACACACGGTATACCTCCCTTCGCGTGGGGTGCCCTACGGGACCACCTGTAGCTGTTGATAGTAGCAGAGCTGTCCAAAGGCATTGACAACGCCTCAGGAAAGGACAAGGAATGTCTCATTAGAGAGTGTGAGAGAGGCATGTGGCGTTGGGAGCATACCTCACCTCCTCTTTGTTTCTGGTCGGGATAACAACGATTGAACGTCTTCACCAAACCTATTTCATCTGCGGAGGGTTGCGCATCTAAACAACGATGAGCGTGGATTGCTCAACAGCCCGATCGTTGTTGTCCAGTACGTCCGGGATCCTGACCGTCTACGAAGCGAAGCTTGTCGCGCTCAGGTCGGGGCCGGAACTGCGCATCGTCGCGTCCTCATGAGCAGCGCGCGCCAGCCGTCAGCAGTTCACAGCGCACTCTGGTGGTTGGGTCAACCCTCATACTTCCAAACCCTTGCGACATGTCCGTCCACCCTGGACAGGTTCTCCTCGACGCTGACGAAAGAAAGGTGGTTTTTGCTCATGCCGAAGATGCCTCGCGAACCGAGCTTCCAAGGTACCGCCAGGACATGTGTGTTGGGTACTGACCCAGACGGCTAAGGTTGGAAGTTTTGCTTGGTGCGGCCATGATGATACATGTCTCAATGTCAGCGTTGTAGTCAGTGCTGATTTGGTAATTGTTGCTGTTGTTGTGCTTTTGTTGATGATCAAGCCTTGTAATCCACGTATGCCGCCGACGACAGCCGGTGTGACGATGTGGCGTATTGCGTAGCGCCCATCGATCGAATATGCCTGCGTTCAACCACCAAGTTGATTTGGCTGGAAGTCGCTGCAGGCATCCTGCTCGAGGGAATAGCGGGGCTCACCGTCAACGTACGGTAGGCACCGAAATGTCCCCGACGAATGACTTCCCCTTTTTTCGATTCCTTCAGATCTCGGGCCCTGCTAGCACGCCTAGCCCCCCTCGCGAAGGTTCTCGGCGAAAGCTGCGTGGGCGTAAAGAGAGAAACCCCGTTGCATCTCGCCAGCGGAAGCCAGGTATCCTGGGGGTTCGCGTAGTCCTTTCGATAGTTCAAGCACATATACTTTTCCCAGTGCCTCTGTCATTCGCTGAAGGATGGATTGTGTGCCCAGAGCCACCGACCTGCACGACCCACGCAGACCACGCGTCACGGGCATTCAAAAACGTTCCGTATGTTAGACAACGCGGTCTGTACGCTTCCCAAAACACAGTCCCGTCACATGTTCATTTGTACAGCAAAAATGTCCGGTGCTTTTTCCTGGCACGCTGAAGCGCATCGAGCTGCCGCTCGCTTCATATTTCGACGGAGAACCTCTACGAACCCCGACCCTTTCCCCGTGACCGCCACCCTCGGCCCACCGGGAATATCGATACGTGCCGCTGCAGGCGGCAGCTTCCGAGGTGGTTCAGGCTACAGTGGCCGCGCACATTTCCGCTGTCTGCACGACGGCGCTGAGACACCGGAAAGAGATTATTGCCCCCACGATCACCCCTACGTCAATGCTAGACGCGGAAGGGCTGACACCCACGTCTAGCTTCACCGAGTCCATGTCCAGTGCAGACGCGACGGTCGACGGTGATGATGCCGGTCACGCTGGCGGCGAGGCCCTCGAGCGCGGTGGTGGTGTCGGTGGTCCACACGCTGGGAGCTGCGGCGGCGGTGACAGCAGTGCCGACAGCTGCGACCACAACGGTGTCGGTGGTGGCGACGTCGAGCCGGCGGCACGTGAGCGTCAGATGAAAAAGTCCAATGCCTTGCAGAAACGCAGCCCAGATACCAAGGGGGGGGGTGCAAATCAGTTAGAGGAAAGGGAAAGAAATATGCCTCGATTAACGGAGGATGAGGACGGAGAGGAGGCCGCTGCCGTCGACGCCGTCGACGCCGGCGCCGTTGGGTCCACCGAGGCTTCCTCCTCTCCGCATACCCTCGTTGAAACCGATGCCGCGGATCACACCGCTTCTGCCGAAGATGATGACGCCGACGACGACTGGTGGGAAGAGGACGAAGAAGACAGTGAGGGCAAAGGCGGGTGCGAGAAGAATAGCGGTCAAACTGAGACGGCCGCGTCTGCAACCCATGGCGCGTGGTGGGGAACAGCTGGGAAAGGAGAAAAATCACAAGGAGGAGGAGGAAGAGGAGGAGGAAGAGGAGGGAGAGGAGTTGGCAGCGGCACTAGCAGGTGGATGCGTCGACGAGAGCGGGAGGCACCGTTCCTTCGCCTGCTTGTCCGGAGTCAGGTGTGTTGAGTCTGGGGCATATTTCAATTGCTCCAACGTGGATCGGCAAAATGTTTTTGCCTGCGTGGGTGTAAGGTATCCAACTTCACTGGAACGAAACATACGGCAGCACCGCGGTTGCCCTCAAGTGGTTCGTGTGCGGAGTGCATCGATGGCAGGAAAGGGAGGAGCGACACACCGATTTGTTCGTGTCAAGCGCTTCGGAGGCTGCTACGTGTTCTACCTCTACTGTCATGACGTCCAGACCGCAAGACCACTGGAGAGTTCAACCATGTCTTGTTCAAGTTGACGATTCATGCCTTTATGATAGCGTGAGGATTGGGATATGATGCTCGCGGTCGTGTCTCGTTTCACCCGCCGCCTCGATATACATGTTGTTGTCGCCCTGGTCTGCTCTATTCCCGCAGGCGTTTGAAGTATTCCGTGCTGCGACCGCGGAGAAGCAATGAAAGGAGAGGGGCGGTGTTGGTTTAAAATCGAGAGCTGACGTCCCTCAAAGCAATGCTTCGGCTCGGTTTTTATTCCTGCCAGATATTGGGTTCGCGCATACGTTCAGATCAGGGCAAGGAGGAATCAGGAGCGAACCACATGTTGCATGTGTGCGTCGGGGAAAGTAGCGAAGAAAAAAGGTGGACTGTGTACCGGGCACGAGCTCGGCCTACACAAGTATAATACCCATGTGTGTGACACTCGCCGGTATATTAGCACATACACGGCACAGAAAAAACAAGTGGGCTTGATGCCATTGTTTGTGAAGTCTGTGGGTGTGACTTCTCGCCGCGAGAGGAGTAGCCGTCCTTCACCCCTAATTTGATTCAACAAGTACCGAGAAAGGCATGAGGGCTATGGCCCTACACTGACGCGCCTGAGGTTCGCGCATTCGCTCTATCTACGAATGGACAACAACGCAGCAGGCATACGCTACTACTGTAATACAGACCAGTACACACCTCCAAACGCATTCCTTGCGCGTGCAGGGAGTCTTTCAGCCGTTGACTGAGCTTGGGGCCTGCATAGTAGTCATGTCGCACGCCTACTATCTTTCACCTTACGGGGGTCATTGTATGCAAGTTTGATTTCTATTGGGTGAGGTAGATTACGCCCTCGAGAGGGGCTCACCTAATACGGTCAACGAGGCATCCTAACTCCGTTGCGTCGAGAGGCAAAGCCAAAATGAAAAAAACGGCGGTGACGTGGTGGTTCGTTCAAAAGGGGGTGCACTTGCGGCCCTGAAACACAAGCCCTGCCTGTGCGTCTGTGCGAGTCTTGCATACGACGTTCTTTTCTCTTCAGTACGGCGCGCCGTCAACGCGTACTGGACGCATCTCGGGGCACCCATCATTAGGCTTGTGTCCGGGAGTGTTTCGATGTGTTATGGGACGCCATGAGTCCGATTACGATGAACCTTCCTGACGTCGGATGCGTCCGACCAACACGTCCCTGTGATACGTAGGGTGGCATTGCCGTTTTTGTACCAGGCTTGAAAAAGTGTTTTCTCCACGATCTTGGGCAAACGACGTTCTCGTACATACGGAAACCGCGGGATTGGCCTTCGGATATTTTTTCCTCCGTCTGTTCCGGCGTCACGAGGTGCGACACTTGGAGGAGTGAATGGCGCATGCATGCCGGCGTCGTGGTACAGGGTACAAAGAAGTGTTTTCCGTTCGCCGCACGCCGCCGTTCACTTGAGAGTGGCGACCGCGCGACACGCCGGTGGGGATCGCTTCATTCATTGACCTGGCCAAGACAGCTGTCTATGAGGGAAAGTGGCGGCTCGCGGCGGTCGGTCGCACACAAAGTATATTTTCGGTCAGACTATCTCGGAGAAGCTTCGATCCCACAGTCACCATTCTGAAATACCACACACTTATTTCTCTCAAACGTATAACCATGATCACGGTGCATGTCTTTGCCTCGTTCACATGAGTTGTTTTTCTACGGTGCAGCTCCTTGCCTGCTCGAAGCTGCGCGCGGTACGTACTGCGTGTTGTCGGGCCGACAACGTTTGGCGGTTAGCTCCCGCTGACTGTGTGACACCACGCCGTTTCGGGGATCACCCGTTCCCCGCGCCCCCCTGGCGATACCTGTGCGAATTGGAGCCGACAAGCATGATGTTCGCCGTAGCCAGGGCTTGACCGATGTCCGGCCGCCGTCGTGGACTGCGGCTGAACAGCGCAACCACTATTCGCTTTGATTGCTTTGTTCTGGGGTTCTGGGCATTGCGGGGGACGTTGGGGTCGGGACGAGAGAACGTCCCACCCCGTGTCATGAACAACGTTGATCAGGACCCCGGCCCGTTGAAATCCCGTCGGAAAATGAACACATAAGAGACACAGTACATGGTACAAAAACAGCTCCTTTCGATGATCTACAAAAACCAAAAAGAGGGAACAGCAGCCACAACCCTCTTCATGATACCTCCCCCGCCCAGAAGGAGAAGAATCCGAGGACCCACCCAGTTTGACGAGAAGAGGGCTAGCGCGGTGCCAAGGACACGCATTCCAGGAGATGGCAAAACAACAGGAGCCACTTCGGAAGCTCCCCGAACACCCTCGTGGTTTTGTACACGGTTACAAACGTCACGCTCACGCTGATCACAACAAAAAAAAACGGCGAAGAACTAACAAACCACAGCACAGATTGAGCGAGCAACTGGTTATCATGTTTTTCCTGCACAGCACAAATCGTCTACCCAAAATAGTACAAGTTCGAAACACCGTGTTCCCGACAATTATCGATCCTCGCTCCAAGATCACTTCATCACGCCTTACCAAGCCTAACCTACCATTACCATCGGCACTATGCGTCACTGTTGTGAACGCTTCGCTTGTCGTAGACCGATCTTCGTATGGACACCAGGGCCCGACACCGGCAGTACAGCGACAATTCCCCTCCGAAGATCCCACAACAGACTTATGGTTTCGGAGTGAAATAAATAACAGCGCCATGCACACTCTCTATTATCGATCCAAGGCCTTCCACACCACCTCGGAACCCTCCCGCTCCAAGATGGCGTTTCCGTCATCGGTGACAATCAGCCTAAACATATCGCTACCGTCGGCGCCTTCACGATCATTGGCGCTCGGTACTCTCTTCCGCTGCTGCGTTGTTCGCCTTTTCTTTTGTCGGGCCTTCTTTTGTCGTTGGCCGCCGGACCAAAGGAGCTTTCCCTCCTCGCGTAGCTCCTATCGGATATCATGCAATTTACCAAGAGAGTGACGTGTCAAAGCGAAAGAGCAGCCGACGGGTCACGTGGTGATGATGTCAGCTAGGGTGTGAGGCTGAAAATCGGGTTTCGCAGCACACATGATAGCACAGGATGAGCTTTGCTTGTTATTATGAGCAAGATAACCACGGTAGGACCCATTGCAAAGCAACACTACCCTGGGATCAAGTTGACAACAAGCGTCCGTTGCAAAATAAGAGGTATGACCGACGGCAGATTCCGGATTCGCAGTTGTACGGAAGGCAACCAGACAATATCCCGTTATCGTAGCCAACGTTTGAGGCATTCTGGTGAAACCGCAGCCCTGCAATCAGAGATATTACCACCAACGAGAGGACCATCGTGATACCTACCCGGGCACACCGAAGAATTCATTGAAAATGCGGCAGTGGACATGAATCACTGCTGTCGGAATGGGGTCGGGACACGTGACATCGTGGTACGGGCAACCCAACAGAGGACTACGCCGAACCGGTAGTGCTCTGGAGCAAAATAGACAAAGCTAGATGTTATGGCCAAGACTTTGGCCCATTTTCAAATACAAACAAGCAGAAAACACACACCGCGCATTTGTATGCTCCGTGCGAAGACTATCAGGGCGATACGAAGAAGGGCGTCCTGCCTTAACCGTGTTCCGCCAAGAACAACAAGAAGATGGCATCCTCACAGTAGGTAGTCCATGTCGATATGTTTGCCAAAACGCCCCGAGTATAACGTACCACTCTTCCCTCGGGAGCGACCGTCAACCGGCACGCCGTGCAAGGCCGCACCGCCTGCTGTCGTCGGATCTTCCTCCAGATCCACCCGACCAGGCTGCGGCGCTTCTTTGATCCTCGGGCCGTCCAAACCTGAAAAAACAGTGACCCAGAACAAATCAACCGCAGAGAACACCCAAAACAGCGCATAAGCGAAAGAGCGATGCATACTCCGGGGTTTCATGCCCGACGAAAGACGGCGGCGAAAACGAGAAGTACATCAGCGAGCAAGGGGAAGGGACTCTGGCCAGTTACGAGCACGTCACGATGGAAGTCTCCCAGGCCCTCTTCTAGGTAACCGGAGCATGGCTAGAGACTGAGTTTCGGGTTCAGCCCAGCACTCTAGGGGTGCAGCACGGGCGCGATTTTATCGCTTGCCACACGGTGGCACCTCAGGTTGAACCATTCTCCTGCAAGCGTCCTCCTGTGAAGAGCGGGCGGGGTGTGCGTATGGCGTGTACTCCCCGGCCGAGCAGAAAGAAAGGAACCTCTGCAGGCAAACCCAATTGGTCTCATCTACCAAACGCATGCCGCCTCTCTAAGTCCCTTCACTACGAAGGGGTGTCAACGTTCCAAGACAATTCGTGATCGAGCCAACTTCAACTCCCGTTCAGCTAAACTCACGTTTATCCCGAATGCGACGGTGATCATTGGGCAACTGGTATGGAGCAAGCCGCCTTTTCGTTAAAACATATCATGCAGTGTCTAAGGCTGTAATTCTCAGTCTTGAAAGTGAATACAAAGCGACCGGCGCGGTGCTGCGTTTCCCAACATGATGAACGCGGCAGGCCGCCCATGGGCAAGACCTACCACCGAACCACCGCGCCCCCGCCCCCCCCCCTCCACCATTTTTACACGAACGTGTGATCTCACCGGACGTCCGTTGTCAGCTAGGACCAAGTCGCCGTTCGGCATCACTCTCAATTCCGTTGAACCGTTCGAAAGCGCATCTTCCAACCCGATAGACCGCGTCTGTTCGAGGGTAGCAGCCATCTTAGCGCGCTTTCTCTGTCCGCGCGTTTGCAAAAGGTGGCCACAAGGTTACCGTCGGCCTGTGAAGCTGTGCCGAGTGAACGTGGCCCTTCCGTGGGGACAAGCGAAATCCATGGTCCACTCGCTGCCTCCTACCGATGCCTTCTTGACAGGGACACTTTGGCGACACTCACAAAGGCCTCCCTATATCCTAGGGTTTGAAAACAAGCTCTACGTACATAATTACGCAAGCGGACACAGACGCTTGCTGTCCATGTGATTCGTTCGCAGCTTACCCTTTGCTCCGCCTCCAGTTTCGCCTTCGCCTTCGCCGCTGCCGCGTCCCGTGATTTTCGTTCCTCTCTCGCCTTTTGCTCGCGCAGTCTCGCTGCTTGTTCATCCTTCGCCCTCTTCTCGTCTCTGGCCCTCTGCTCTTCGCGCGCTCTCTGTTCCCGCTGCTGCTTCTCCCTCAAAGCACGCGCCTCTTCGAGCCTCTTTTCTTCGGCGTCCGCGAGAGCCTTTCGTTCCAGGTCTTTCCGTCTCTCCGCTTCGCGCTGCTTCTGCCGTGCCTCCTTCGCCGCCACCGCTTCCCGCAGCGCTTTCTCTTCCAGCTCCATTCTACGGGCACCCTCTTCCCTCTCCTCCCGCGTGCGTCTCTCCATCTCAGCCCCCTTCTTCATTGCCACGATATCGCGAGTACTTGACATAGCGTCTTCATCGACCGCTGTGGAAACCCTTGCCGAGCTGATCGAAAGGAGCAGCCACGTGGTGAGGTAGCTCGCCGAGAGCGTCAGCAGCACTATAAGGACCGGTCGGGCGTATCGCATCCGTGATTTTGGCTTGTGGCCGGAGTTGGTCAAGGGAATTCAAAGCGGGGGTACGCGGGGAGAGGAGGAGGGCGTGGGGAGATTGCAGTCGCCCTTTTAATGGCGCATGACAAGACCCGGTGACAAGGATATTGATTCCAAGGGCCCAGATGGGTGGAGGATCGAATCGGCTAGGCGTGGTGGTATTCCTCCCTGTGAACTACCCTTGCACTGTCTCTATTTAGGCGTAATTGTGCTTGTGCTCCTTCTGCAGGCACTTGTTGGGAGCCCGAGGTTTGGTGTGTTTTCCTTCTATAAGGACGCAACTTGCTTCAATAAGCGAGACGTTTCGTGCGCAACCGCCTCGTGCTACAATAGTCGCCGCGAGCCGTCGGCGAAGACCGACCTAAGATGAAACTCCAGCGAGGCGCACCAGCAACGACAAAAAGAGCGAACGCACACGTCGGCAAGCACAAAACATTTTCACACACCAAGCTTGCCGGTGTATGGGATACAGTACTACATTCGATATGCCATGCTTCTCACAGCAGACCGGAGAATTCACACAAATGTGGGATTCCCGTACATGTGCAAAAACATGGCAACCCTTCAGAGTGCTAGTGCTGCACCTTCACGGAAGGTATGCGGACCTCACCGAACGGCACACCAGAACACAAGGAGTAGCGGCGGCACCTTGGCCTCCTCGTTCGTATTTTTTGTGTCCGCGGACTCACCGGGAGCGGGACTCGCATATCCCCGTCAACGGCGGACCGCTTCTCAGGAAACGTTTCCAAGGGCTCCTCCCCTAAAAAGCCACCGCCACCGGATTGACCCGACTGTAAGCGTGCTGCTCTGCAGGTTAGCGCAAACAATTCGCGGGTTGCGGTGGACGGACGAAGAATGATCGCGTGCTGCTGTGTACAGCAGGGAGCTGGGCACGATGTACGCACAACGACATTGAGTGGCCGAACGTTCGCATACAGCATGAAGTGACCGATCCTCCCCCCTTTCCCAAAAATCTTGAACGTCTTCATCCATCACAGTTCAGCCTTACACAGTCCGTAAAGCCGTAACCCAAAACGGATAAACTGCATGCAGCACCACATACATCCACGAAGCAAATCCAAGGCAACCAAGTTCAGTGGCCGAACCAACCCACTCGTTCACCTTCTTCTTCTGCCGCCGATGGACACAAGAGAAGAAGGCGCACTGCTCCTGCCTGCCTCGCTCAAGCCCTCTAGCCCACCTTCGCTCTCCCACCATCCGCTACTGTCTCCGCTCCAGCGCGACGACGCCTTGCCGCCGTTAGTATTGGACCTCTGCCCGTTGATGGTGGGGGACGGAGTAGCACCGCCGAATAAATCGGCGCTGCCGCTGCGGCTAAGGTGCCGACTACGACGGTGCTGCCGACGGTGTCGTGCGCTGCTTTCACTCCGTTTCCGGCCCGCCGGGGGGTATAGACGCGGCCACCAGAAGGTGACTGTTAGGGCCTCGACGGAGAGAATGAGGTACCCCGCCGCCCTCAGCGGGTGGAGGTCACTATGCGAGGCAGGAGGAAGAACAACGAAGCGATGCATAACGTTTTCACTGGCGTGTTCTCGGCGTCATGCCCAGGATGCACTTCTAAGGTGGAGGGTGGAGGGAAATCATAGGTGGAGGTCCATGGAGCGTGTTGGCAACCTGGTATTAAGTGCTTTCTACTCAGGTAGTTCCCATGGCGGCACAACGACGATGAGCTGGGATTTTCGACGAAGACAGCAGCGTCGACGTAGGCGACGAGAACATTATGGCATGGAAATATTACGGCATGGAAACGTTACGGCATGGACATCCATCCAGAACGGTTTCGCTTCTATTTACAGCTCGCTGATTAGGGTTAGGTTGGACATGGGGTAGTTTAGTAGGTTCATCATTTGGAAGTCTCAGCAGCGTACCCACCACCTGCACAACTACCATGTCTGGCCTTGACAAGCCCGACCAACGTACCAACGTACGGGCAGCATGAGCGACCGTTAGAAACGTACACAGCAGTGGAGGCCCAGCCACGGTGGTTGTAGGTTCATTGGTTTTACGTGAGTGGAACACGGCGGGGCAGGTGGATAGTGCTACGATCAACCCGTAGCTATAACGTCAATATCGGAGATGATACAACGCCGTAACAACGCCGTAACAACGCCCAGGTTGACCTTTCGAGATCATCAAGGGTTGGAAAGCATGTGTACAGAATGGTGCATTTTCGTTTTCTCTGGGTACTGCTGTGCGTCGATTACCATGATCCAGAAGACTGATCGCGGAAGAACGGTTTTGAGATTGGTGCGGGAAACGCTGTGACCTTCAATATTTACATGATGACAAGTAGTGCCGCACATGTCTTAGTTGCGAAACATAAACATTGCAAGGCGGCGAAACAAACCATGGACACAAACGGTTCTTTCGCGGGGTGTCTGCCTGTACGATCGGACGTGCATCACAGGACTTCGGAAACAAAGCAATGCCGTTTTCCTGAAACGATGTTGTGGGTTTCATTCTACCCTTGGGGACTTAATGCGCATCCGAGCGGCCGCCGCGCTACGCGTGCATAGGCCATAGGCTAACCTCTTGTTACAGCAGTGTAGTGCTGCGGTAGATTACATCTGGACGGTTAGACCCGCAAGCGGATGACCCTCAGGAAGAGAAAAAATGCACCACACCTATGATGGGTAGATCTGTCACAGCAGTATTGGTTACGGTTCGCCTCGGTAGTATCCCGACAACTATGGAGACACGTACAGGCCTCTGCTGCGTGTAAGAGCTGGCGTGTACACAAACATAAACCGCCGCGTCTCGTCGCACTCGATCTTTCCACCGGCCCTAGTCCAGCAGACGGAGGAAGACATTTTAAAAAATCGAAGGCTACATTTTGGAGAAAAGACTACGCGATTATAAACCTTGCCTGCCATATGTGCTGGTGTAGTTCTTGCTCTACAACCTCTTCCTGTCCCTAAACAAGAAACTGATAAGGTTGTCAGCACGCACACCCAGCTCGTCGTCGCGATCCAACACACCAGACTGCAGAAGAATCAAAACGGTCTCCTCCTCCTGTTCGCTTCAAGTAGGTACGCGTGCAGTCCCGAGCGAGGTAGATCGCATCAAATGTGGTCGTTACCAACCCAGGAAACGCACCTCGTCACACGAGCCCAGGCCATGCATCCTGCCGTTGCCATTTGGTCGCCCCCCTGGTTCCACCCTCATCGCATTGTAGATAGAACGATGGTATGTCTCAAACGCACAAACGCGTGCGTTTGGCGTAAAGATGGGGGGGCCGGCACATGGCCAACAATAACCCGAGAGTCTGAGAGTGTGGTGGAAGGAGCGAGTGCCATCCTAACCGTGAGGCCCCCGGCTGAAGTCCGCAAGTCCGCAAGTCCGCAAGGTTGGGTTCCGGTCGTCAGCCAGCCAGCACCGTTGCAGGCCGCCATCTGCCAACCGCATGGTGCGGTCAAGTCGTTCCCGGCTGTGCGTTCAAGTTGTTCCCGACTGTAACTGTTTTTTCAGCTCTAGGAATAGAAGGGAGATGCTTGGATCAGTGGACGCCAGGTGAGTTGTGTCGATCAACGGCGTGAACAAAATCTGGATGCGGCGTGATTCCACAGCAGACAGAGCTTCCGTTTTGGGGTGTTCGAGCGCGTACCAGCGTCGCAGCAGTACGGTAGCTGCGCAGGGTGGTGTTTGGCAGCTACCGGGGTACTATTATCGCCGTTCTGTGGCGAGCTTCGAGCGATCCTTGAGGGGCAGCCATACGTAAGGTCTCGCAGTATGTGTTAAAGATACGTTATCAGCAGTATCAATCAGCATGTATGTTTGTTGTTCCGTCTCTCGTGTAACGGAAAAAGCTCGGCCGACGGATGCGCGGCGCACGACAGTGGTGCGTGTGGAAGTCCCCACCATTGTCTTTGGGGGGTAGCATCGCTCGTAGTTCGCAGCGCCCACGTCCCCCCAAGCCTGGTGTGGTTGACGCGCGCACACACACCTCCAGGAGGAAGTTAATTGTGTGGAATGGGTGGGTCCAGAATCAGAACTTCGGAATCGAAATCTAGTACCGTAGGTTTGCTGTATGCCTATCGGGTTGGAGTAAACGGTACTAGTGCTGTGGGCGCCGATTTGAAGGGAAGACAAAAAAAAAAAAAAAAAAACTGGAGGAACGCACAAGTGAGTGCGGAGAAGGTAGAGAGGTAGTATGGCAGCAGTGGTAACACGGTGTTCGCTGTCTGTAAATGAGGAAGAACACTCTTCGGAACACCAGGCAACCACAAAGCTACAGTCAGCTGGATTGAATTCCCATGCCCTCTTGAGCATGTACTCGCTAGGCTTCGCATTGTGGTAATTTCCGCCGTTGTGAAATGAGTTCAGATGCTGTTGTTGTTGCAACATGAAAACCAGTATTAAAACTCTGTTCCGACCTCTACTACAGTACAGCGCTTCATCTTTCCTCTTCGTGAAAGTTTTCGCCTTCACAAGATAAAAGTCTACAAAAGTTTATTTTAAATTTTTTGTAGGCCACCCATTCACTAGTAACTCAAGTTCCAACGTACACGAACAGGCAGTCCGGAGTGTCTTGTGTGCGCCCTGTGCGGTGTCACTCTCCACGCCGAGACGTTCTTGCTCTCTTTTAGAGCCTGATTCTTGTGCCTTCGACCTCATCCTACTATAAATAGCCGGAATGACGACAGTGCGGGGATGCGTACATGGTCACCGAGTCGTTTCGATTTCTCCGTCGTTGCCCAATGCAAATGTTCTTGGTGCTGTCTCTCCCTCTCTTTTGCCTTCCTCAAATCTACAACTCAGCAAGGCAGGGTAGCTCCGTGGATGTTTTTCAGTTTTGGTGCTTGCCCCTCGTGCCTGTACTCCTTTGCATCCGCGTCGATAAAACAGGAGAGGGGAGCTCTCGGCCGTCGTTCGGATACGGAGCCCGGCGAACTCTTCCGAAGTGAGTGAAAAATTAAGAACTGACCATGACGACAAACTCCAAGCGTCTGACCATAGGTGTGGCGACAGCGGCCGCCGCCCTTCTCCGGGCGAAGCATCCTACAGCTTCCCTCTGCTTGGCCTCCTGCAGACCGGCCAATAAACTTGCGGATATTCCGTGTTCTCTCCCCTTCTGCCCGTGAACATGCTCAGACGACCGAGCCGCCAGACCTTTGTGTGCGAAGGGATGGGCCACGACATGTGAGCGTCGAGGCGCCCGAATGCCGCACAACTTCAAGGCAGAAGGAGTCCTTCGAAGTGACGCGAGTCTTGCAGTTGAACGCCACGCCCGAGGAGATATTTGCAGGTGCGACTGAGTGCCTCAGAGGGACGCTGATTGGCAACCCTCGTTGCGTTAGTTGTGGTGGGATCGCTGTGTACGCGCGCGACTGTGGAAGAGGGGTTGAGCCTGGTCCGCAAGCTGCAACCGTAGAGCGGGTAGGTGCAAGAAGATGAGGCAGAGGAACGCCGATGCCAGGTCTAGGCGGAGTTCCACATTTCCGGCCGAGGCACGTATTTTGCTGTTGTGGTGTACTTCAGTAGAATTCAGTGCAGGGCTAACCGCCGAGAGATGTTCTAGAATAGTTTTTTTTTTGTGAAATTGCCCGGGTGTAGTAGCCCTCAGGCTCGGATGTCCGTCCCCCGCTTCTCCCCACCGAGGTTAGATTTTGAGTTCCGATGTCACCCACCCCAATTCCCTTCTCGCTCACATCCAAAACAAATCTCAAACAAAAAACAAGGTGTCGGCAGTCCCGTTGTGGATTGGCTGTGGGACGGCTTCAATGCCGTGGTGTTATCCTATGGGCAGGCCCGTTCGGGCAAGACATCTCTCCTGGTTGGAAACGGCGCGCCGTTGACAGAAACGCCTGGAGAGAGCAGTCAACGAGCACAAAGTCTGCCGAAGGGGAACTCAGAGCCGGGCCGGATCGGTAGTGGAAGGCTAGGGAAAGGACGACGAAGAGGCGACGAGGAAGGCTTACTGAAAGACATCTTGAGAGATATCTTCGACAAGGCAGCCGCCGCAGGTCCCGCTGATGCAGCCGACCCCGTCCTCGTCGCCTGCCAAGAGAAACAGCTATCTCCCACCACTGGGGAACCACCCTACGAAACTCTCAACCCTTTGGCGGGATCGTGGTCACCATCTCGGCACGCGAATGATAGCCCGGGATTCGACGTCTGCCCAGGCGGCATCGGCACTCTGCTTGGCACCCAAGAAGTTACCCCTAACGGTGCTGGGACAGCGACAGTGCACACTAAAAGATATGGAATAGATTCTGAGCGTTCGGAAGGGAGGAGGGACAGTACTGAACCGGTGGCGACGGCAGACCAGATCTACGGCAGTGAGAGCAGGAATGAGACGGGGAAACAAATATCACGTCGCAGTATAACCGGAGAGAGCGGGCTTAGAGCTGTTGTGGCGCTAAGCGCCTGGGAGGTGGCGGGGAAGCACGTGACGGACCTGTTCGTAGATCCATCACCAGACAGCGGCAGTACCGGCGGTAGTAGTAACGGGAGGAAGAACAGCATGGGGAACAGTAGCAGCAGTATCGAAGTAGATGACAAGGGCACGAGGGGCGTGGCGGGGCGTAGTCGGAGCCGAAACAGGAGCAACAGGAATCGAGCGGCCGGGTCAGACTGTTCTCGAAGAGGTGGAAACCGGGGCGGCGGCAGTCGGAACAGCAGGGGCCGTTCCGGGAGTGATGACTCTTCTTCCACGGGGGCGGGGTGGCCAACTGGCTACCCCGAGGGCTTTCTTTCCGTGCGGGCGCCGAATCTTAGCACCGCGTTGGAGCTCGTGGACGTTGCCCAGAGCCGATGTAGCGCCTGCCGAAGGCAGAGGGCCACCGCGACGAGCGAAGCTGCGAAGGGAAGCAGGGGGAAAGGAGGAGGCGGGGGGAAGGCGGGAGGCGGTACTGCAGTGGAATCTGCGGCTGCTGCCGCAAACAGCAGTCACGTTTTCTTTCGGGTCGTGGTCTACAATACTCTAGAAGAAACCGTGAGCACGCTACACATTGTTGATCTCGCGGGAGGCTGGGAGGTGAGAAGTCGAGAATACCAGGTCGACGGGTAGCGGGTAACTTGGTGGGAGTTTCGGAATTTTTTTTCATGGTTTCGAAGCTTCGATGGCCTCATGTCGAACGACGCTGACGAATCCTTCCCCCACGCCTTTGTAGTGTCTTTGAATTTGTTTTTTCTCGACGTCTGACACCGGCCAACGCGCCTTTTGCCGCCATCCGTGGCCCGATGCTCTTTCGGTCAGCCTCCCAGTGAGAAGCCTGCAGGCAGGCGCGGAAGCAAATGTTCGGGGATGGGGTCTGTTAGACCCAGCGCCGTTTCTCGGGAATGGAACAGCTTTGATGCGATGATGGTTGGGTTGGTTCCACCGCCCCCTCCTCCACCTCCAGCGACCGCCGTGCCGCCCGACAGAGTAAACGACAGCGGCTGCAACTGCGGACACGTAGAGAAAGGGGGCATTGCGTTCGATGCTGGCGGGGCTACGGCAGTGAACGCGGAGGCAGCGGCATCGGAGTCGCGGCCTGCACCCCCACCGCCGGCACATCCTGTGTTTGGGTCTCCAAAAGGAAAGACGTTCGGCGGTGGGGGCGGGGGCAAGCTAGTAGAGGCCCTCCGGCCGCTGATTTCGGGGAACACGCGTACGTGGCTGGTCGTGTCGGTGGGTGGGGATGGCAAGTGTGGGGGAGGGGCGGCATGGCGGGCCCTGGATGTCGCTCGGCGGGCTACGGGTATCTCAACAACGTGCATCCGTCTTAGGTGAGGTTTTGTGGGTACACAACGTGCGCGGGTCGATCGTGTGTTGGTCCGGCCGAGAAAGTATGACGAGCCTGGTGGTTCGCATGATGGCCATTGCTCAATGCCTGCACGTTCCTCCCGCCCGTTGGTACCCTATGTTGAATATCTTGGGCCGATTCTCCAAGCTCAATTACTACGAGTCAATAGCGGCGCCGAAATGGCGGCGCTGGAACCATCGGTTCCCTTCAATTGGACGCACTAGCATAGGATTTCGAGCCTGATACCGGTGATTTTCTTTGCTGCATGCCTGCCTTGCCTTTGTGCTAGAAGTGGTGGTTCGGTCACCTCTTCGTGCTAAGAAAAGGGATTGAACACATGTGGACAGCGGGTGTGGCCGCGGCATAGCACAGACTTAACATGGTGGTGCGGTTCAGTGCGTGCAAAATGGAAGTCAAAGCGGTATCCACGGAGCTTGTCCAACACAA